GGTTGGTGGGCTCCAGACTTTAACCCACTATTTTCTTGATTAATTTCACAATTACAGTGTACCTAGTCTTTTTAAACCTGTGTATCATTACTCATTAATGATTTGTAAAATGAATTTAGTGAGTTATGACTAACATAAAAAAATAGAAGAGAAAAATAGGAAATATCAGAATGCACTGTGCATAATAAGTACTTTTATCGTAGACACACACATATTATGCTGGATTGCAATTTTAAAAATGTGTTTTTTGAGCATCCTGGTCTACCCTATCTTCAGAAGGTAGAAGCACCTCAGGTGTCCCTCTCGAGGCAGCTCCCAGCCTACCTCTCTATAAAAGTTGTGCAATTTGGTATATTTGTATTTTATGCTCCCTTGGGTTCCCCAAGTTTAAGATTGTAGCTGGTGCACAGCCTTCCTAGAGCCATCCTGTGGTATCTTAATCAATGAGTGAATGCTGAACAGAAGAGCCCCCCTGCATAGACACAAGCAGCGTGACCAAGGGGTTATCTAGAAGTCATTTCTGAGCTCTGACCTACAGGGTCACCACCCCTGCACCCGCACACCCTGACACTGCACTATTTTGGTCAACTGAGTTGGATTGGGGAGAGGCCAGACACAGTGCCCACCATCACCGAGCACTGGCCCTGCTGCCAAACAGCTACTCCTTTCAGCCCCATTCTTCCCAGTGAAAACATTTCAGGCAAAGCTCCAGCTCATGAAACTTGGCCTCTTTGAAGTGGTGAGCTAGTGCCCCTGAAACTGTCACTCTACATCTGGTGGCGCTTCTGCTACCAGAGCTTCATATAGGGTTCATGTCCCTTTCCTCTGAAGTCTGTAAACATAAATTCAATTTTAAACTGGATTTTTTTTAACAGTTGGTCTCAGAAGCATCTTTGGGGTGGGGGGGGTGCTAGCACTGGTGGAGGGAGATATGAGCCCTTGAAAATTGGATTCTTTTTGGAAAACTGCTGACACAGGCTAATCGGCAAAGAACTAAATGACCCTACTGTTTCTACCTACCGACAGGCTCGGCCTTGGGACAGGGCTGAAATTAGCTCTCACCACATGGCAGAGACATGCCTTCCTCATTTTTTTTTTCTTTCTTACAAATAGGGGGTAATTTTGTGGCTCTCACATAATACAGCTTTGTAGTGTAGATGACCAATAAATAGCTCTCCCTCCCTAACTCGAAAAGCACACTAGTGCTGATCTTAACAACTAGAGAGTCAGGTAATAGGTAGTCCCCCTGATGAGGACTGGTTTTAAAACTCTTTCGTAATTGGTGTTCTTTGGAAAATGCTAATAGACAAACACATCCCAATATAAGGAAATGTATTGATCTAAAGATGAGTGACCAGCCTGGTGTCCTGGCCTCCCAGGCTGTGTAGCCTCATGCTTCTGTACATTTCTGCTACTATGTCCTTTCTGTCATGAGGAGGCTCTGCAACGTTATAGTTTTAGGGAAATGAGGCTGTGCATTTCAATTCTGTTGTCCAGTGCTGTTATCTGCTGGAAAATGAGGATTCCCTACCCATTTTGTAAGCACACAACTGGCAGGAGCTGTTGCAATCTCACTGCCTTCCGATCAGCCCCGCCCCAACAGCAGGCTGAGTGGGGGCCCGTGAATCACCCTCTGGCCAAAGGGTTGTGGTGAGTTTCAAAATAAAAGATCCCTGCCTGAGCACACCATTGCACTTCCTAGCCCATAGAACCAGCATTGTTAACTGTGCCACATCTCTGTTCTAAATTTAGGCATCTTTTTTTTCCAGGCAAAGATTACTATGCAAACATTTAAGAGAAAAACTTTGCCCAAAGTAATTTTTTCCCTCGACTTCTATTTGGTTTCCTGCAATGTTTAGATGACTCATTCTCTTCCAAGAAATTTTAAAGAAAAGAGATTCGGGCTGTGTGATAGCACACAAAGAATGCTCTGTAAATTCTCCTTTTCTTCCCTGCCTAGAAACCCCTTGCTTTCTTTATAGGAAACGGAAAGGCTCTACAGTCTTCATTGTCAGGTACTCCGCCTCATCAGGTTTTGTTGTTCCCAAGAATAAATGGCCCCCTTGTCTTTGGGTGGGTCCTGCTTGTTTTTGGGCGGGGCCCCCTTGTAGCTTCCCAGCTCTGACAACCCCTCCACTGCGGCCAGCACGGAAGCCCTTCCTGGGACGCTGGGTCTGCGCTTGCCCCCAAAGGCACACAGTTAAGGTCTGTGAATAGAGAGCGGGTGGCCTTTTATCATCTGTGAAAGAAGTACTAGCTATGTCCTGCTTCTCTCCCCATTGCTGTGCTCTTTATCGCACCCTTTGACTGGGCTAGCTACACGTGTTCCCAGCCCAGCCCTCGACCAGAGGGAGTGGTAAGTCAGAATCACTTCAGCAGCCTGTTCAAATAAACAGGGATAATAGTTGAGTCGGTCCTTTTCCAACTAATCGGTACACAAAAGGAAACATCTGCCTGGGCTTAATTGCTATTTTATTGGTTATGTTTTTTTTCCCCCCGGCCCCAACCCCATCCCAGGGGGTGGGGGCTGAGTTATTTAAGTCATGGGTAAGCAGTAGGGTAGAGGAGGAATGGGAGCTTTCTCCTGTAACCTCTGCCGTTTAAACATAGGAGGTAGTAAGGGAGGATGGGAGGCTGGCAGGGGGAGCTGGCCTGGAGGCCAGAGGGCAGGGCATTTGGAAGTGATACTCTTGGTCACTTCCTGGCCCTGTTGCTGACTCTGGGGCTGGTTGGTGAGTCATTTCGCCTCACTTCACCTCCTTGGACCTCTGCTGTTTCAGTGGAGCTCAGCTCGCCTCACGATGGGAAGGAGAGGCTGGTATGTGAGATACTAGGTGAAAGGCATTCCCTCTTGTGGCTTCTTCAAGTGATTAAGGGCGTTGGATAAGACACATTTGGTAATGGTAAATTTAAGACTGGCAAGATAACCTTGCAGCCATCCATTTTGTAGAGCATCTCAGTCCCTGAGGAGAACCTGCTCATTGTCTTCTCTGTGGAGTGAAGCCAACCAACCATACGTTGAAGTGTGGGTGATGTTTGAATCTAATATGGGCTCAAAGAAGCCAGGCAAAAGATCATGAAGAATCGTAGAATGGCAGAGATTGGAAAAGACCTTAGGAATGTTTTAGCCAAAGACTTTCATTGCATGGAAAGGAAAACAGAGGCCCAGAGAGATTAACCAGTTGTCTAAAGTTATCTCCTTGGTGGTGGATTAGCTGAGAATAGGAGAATCTTGTGATTGATAATCCAGAGCTCCTTCCACCCCTTTCTCCATTACCAGGTGTAAAAATCCAAATCTACTCACAACAAAGGTCACACATATGTTATATTCCATAGTGAATTCCTTAATACAAAAATGGCAAAGCGTAAAAGAAAGATGAAAATGACTGATAAACGTAAAAAAAGTTCAGGCTCACTAGAATTAAAGGACTGCCAATTACAATAGGATACCATTTCAAACTGTCAAGACAAAAAAGTGAAATATCATTCTTATATGCTTCTGCTGGTATTTTAAATTGGTACTGTTTGTCTCAAGGATAATTTAATGGTATAAATGAGTAGTGTTTGACTCAGCAATGTCACTTCTAGGAGAAAGTAATGAAAAGCGTGTGCATAGATTATGTACAAAGTAATTTAATACAGCATGTTTTATCATAAAAATTTGTAAGCAAAGTAATTGTCCAAGAATAGGAGCTACATCTATATAATGTATGATAATGTCATAGAAGAATAATATGTAGGGAAATGTTCATAGCTTAGGTAGGTTACAGTAAGTAACTTGAGTAAGTTACACATCAGTAACCCAACATGAGAAAGTTACAGTGCGTTTAATGCAATCCCAATTTCATAAAAATCAGGGAGAGAGAAGATTAGAAAAATATATAGCAAAGTCTAGAGTGGCGATTTCGTAGTGGTAGGAATTAAGAGTTACTTTTTCTTTTTTGAGGTTTTCTTGTTTATTACACTAAACATATATTCCTTTTGTAATCAGAAAAAATATTTTTAAAGTGATACATCTTGAAAAAGCAAGACCTTAAATGATTATGTTTCTGACGTGCAAGACCCCTTCCTTTCTTTGCCTGAGACCTGAGCTGTGCCGGGGGTAGTGTTATACCTTCTATTAGAAGGGCATTGGTGGTATCTGATATTTAGTAGGAAAGAACTAAAAGGAGCTGACAGAAGGTAAAACAAGGGCTTCCCCTCTCAATGACCCGTTGATGCCAATCAGGTTTATCCCCTGCTCTCTTGGGCTTGGCATAAAACACTCAGTACAGAGGGTATGGCTCTTATTTCCTAACTCCTTCCTCATTCTTCCCTGTTTCTACTCTTCTCTCTGTGTAGTTAGATGCCAGCCCTGGGTGGCAGCAGCAAAGAACCTGAGAGCCACCACTGCTTAGGATTAACCAGTTCGAGACCTCTTAATATATATCAGAATCAAGTAACATTAGCTAATCTCGCGGTCCGTCACTATTGAGGTACCACTGCCCTGGGAGTTTGGGGTAGAAATAAAGCAAGTAAGAGGTATAACTCCTTCCTTCTTGGAGGTTACTATTTAGTCAGGTATTTGAAGTCCTTGGATGTTTCTATACTTCTTCCTATCTCATCCTATTTCACATCTTACTTTCCTCCACAATTCTTGGGAATGCTTGACTACAAGTATCTGAGAAAGCTTGTTCCACCTAACGACAGTTGCTACGTAGGATGTGGCTTTCAGGCCTGCTCTTTGGGGACCAATTGAAAAATCAAAGGCTACAACCCCTTTTCCCTCCACACGATTGACTTTGCTAGGCTATAGAAGGGGCACGTTTCATTTTATTAAAACTCTTCGAGTAATCTGACCATAATTGGGTCTGATCAGAGTGGTTATCTGATTTGCTGGGTTAAATAATGGGCCTTAATTGAGTCTGTGTTATTTGTAGAGCCAGTGCTGCTCTTGCCCTTGATGCCCCCTCCTCCCTCCTTCTGTTTCCCAATTAACCTTCATTCCTCTTTCTTTGCAGAGTAAAGAAGTCGGCCAGCAGCTGCAAGATGATTTGATGAAGGTCCTGAATGAGCTCTACTCGGTAAATCAGATGGGTCGCTTGGCTCTTTAACAAGCAGAGGGAAGCAGCATTTGGCAGCTTGTGGCCATAGTCACGTCAGCAACAGAACTGAGCTGAGGCCGAGGACAGTGTATGGTCCCCCCGCCTATCTCTTTTTTCACACTCTTATTTTCAAACCGGAATGAGCCAAAAAACACTTTCTCAAATTAAGAGCCCTTCTCAGCTGTGCAAGCTAACTTTGACTTTATTTGGGGCATAATCACTAGAGACCAGCCAAGGCCTACCTAGGTCACCAGTGCAACTGACCTCCATTACTAGCAAACCAGGGACCCCGAGCCTAATGGCAAGAAGCGTAGCCTGCATTGCACCATTAACATGTGCCTGTCAGAAAGGATTTATTCAAGGTTTTGCATCAGTTCGTGGAATGATCTACTGGTTTGATACCAGAGCAAGTGCTCTGGAGGGAAACACAGAGTCAAATGCCCCTAATATAAGGGACCAGTTCAGGCAGAGAGAGCTTTGCATCGACTCTGTAGAGTTTTATAAAGGCCAAACCTCCAGTGAAGAGGCAGGCTTTGGGTTTGGAGAGGAAAATGCAATCTATTCTGAAACGACTGGGCTTCGGGCACGTGATGCCTGTGGCTGATGCATGTTTCTTCATGCAGTGGGAGGTCGTGGTGGTTGTTTTTCCCCCAGCCATGTTTTGTTAATTATAATTAAAACACACATGCACACCAAGGAAGTTCCTGCTGCCGTATGGGGACTATTTTAATTGTGCAGCTAAAGCCTTTCAGGGCCCCGTTCTCCAGGTGGGCTGTGCCAGGCTTGTGTGTCATTCCCCAGGGTTGCCCCATCCTGTTTTGGAGGTGAAATTGATTTCCTGTGTTTACTTGCTTATTCACCGCATTTTTTTTTTCTTTCTTTTTTTAAATTCACAGGAAGACAGGCAGTGGGGACATGCACCACAGGCATTTGGGATCACAGAATTCCATGTTCTTGATCCAAAGGCCTAGGTGTGGCCATTCTGTCATGGCAACTGTTAAGCAAGTAAATAGGGTAGAGTAGTCATCAGACTTGTCTCCAGTGACGCTCAGTGTCCTGGGAATTTCTGCTCTGTGACTCTTTTGCTCAGAAGCCAAGTAGATAGATAGTACCCTTTGGTTCAGCTCCCAAGTTTTCATTTCTTTCAAATGAAGTTAAGGCTTTTTAAAATTAGAAGCATGTTGCCCTGAACCATTTTCAGACTGGATGAGGTTCCTGGACCCCCTTGTCTTTTTAATGCTTCACTTCTGCTCTTTATTTTTAGAGCATCTTCTAGTCACCAAGAAGAGCTATTATTACTCCTTTCCCCTGGCAAAGAATTCGCTAAGATAGAAAATGATACATGTAGTCATTATATGAATCCTTTTATTTTCCCATAAGTATCTTGGACCTCTGCTATTTGCTGTTTCTGGGGAGGAGTTGGTTGGATAACCAGCAAGCCCCAGACCAACTTAAATCTAGCGTGCCCCTCCTGCAGTGGGTCTCGGCAGCAGAGGAAGAGCAGTGTCTAGGGACCTGTTAGCTTTACTCAGAGTCCTAGATCTCCTAATATGCCATGACTTTAAAAAAAAAAGTGAAAGTGTATAATTTGTGTTGGAGTGAGGAAGAAAACCCTGGAACCTGCTCCTCTCATCTGAGGAGGGCCAAGCTGGCATCTTGGACTGCAGTCTTCACTCAGTCCCGTGTTGGTCAGTGCTTTACTGGCCACTGTGAGGCCACAGTCAATGCAGAGCGTAAAATCTTCCCGCCAGTGTGCAGACTGAGAATTGGCTGGGCAGGATGTCGCCTGCCATGAGGTGAATTGGTACATACTTGTAATCTGCTTAAGGCCAAAATAAAAATTTGACATTTTTGTCTAGTAGGCAATGGAAAGTAGAGAACATTGGAAAGTTCCAGAGAAGGCAGAACAGTCTAGTGTAGTGATTCTCAAGCAGGGTGATTTTTGCCCCCAAGGGGACATTTGGAAATGTCTGCAGACATTTTTGGTTGTCACAGCTGGGGTGGGAGGTACTAGAGATCAGGAAGCGACTAAAATCCTATAATGCACAGGACAGCCCCCACAACAAAGAATTATCTGGCCTAAAATGTCAATAGAACCAAGAATGAAAAACCCTGGTCTGGTGACTAGAGTCTCCTGAATTAGGCAACCCAGATTCTACCTGGTATCCCACCACCTCTATGATCTTGGGATGCTCCTAACCTCTATAACCCAGGTCTCCACACACTCCATGTACTGCTATCTCTGTATCCTGGGAGGTGAGGGGCCTGGGGGAGTCATACTTCCTGAAATATCAGACTATAGTTAAGGGCCAAATGAGTTTGCAGATTCTATAGAACATTAGGAAGTTCAGAGAATAGAGTTATGAGTTGTTTCTTCTGGAGGTTGAGGTAAGCGCAGGACTGGTCTGAATAAGACACCGCAATATTAGGGTAACTGTTCTGGTTTGCCTAGGACTGAAGAGTTTTCTGGGACATGAGACTTTCAGCAGTGAACCTAGAAAAGTCCTGGGGAAACCAGGATGATTGGTCACCCTACATGGGACAGTGGTTTTATCGAGTAGAAACTTGGGACTAGTGTATGCTGGCTTTGGGCAGCTACTTGCTGTATATACTGTGTCTCTCAGAGGAGTTAAGAGAACAAGGGAGGGCTTCTTGTAAGGAGCTTTCCCCTTATTTTCTCTTTGGGAAGGCAGAGGAGGGCCTGTCATTTCAGTGACCCAATAGGCAGTAGAAGTGATTTGTGGGCCTGGGATAAAGGAAACTAAGGATACAAGGAACCTACCATATTCAGCGCTCTTCTTCCCTTAGATCTGCCCCACAAATACTTCTTTTTGGGATACTGATTACCCAAGGGTTGGCAATTTAAGTACTTTTGAGCCTTGATGAGCCAAGGGGCAGTGCCCAGGTGTTCCCAAATAAAGATGCCTTTGGACGAGAGGCCCAGACTCTCCCCATAAGTGGCAGCGGCCCCTTTGTACCTTCCTCTTTGCTGCCCAAAGGGCGTTTGGTTTCTTCGACTTGGATCCCGTGCCAGAGGCCTCTCCCCACGGCTGCTGGGCAGAGAGCACTCCCAGTGAGCGTGCTCTGCCACATATTTTACCCCGCGATGAGCTCGCTAGTTTGTAGGCCATAGCATAAGTGGCTCTCATTTTCTGACTGATGTCCAGGAATGCCTTTGAAGTCAGGGCACACTGCTTCCCAAAGAACTCTGGAATCCTCTGCCTCAGTTGTACTTGGAGGCTGTATCTGGAAAAGCCCAGTGAGTCCCCACCGGAAGGAGTGTTTGTGGGGGCACTGAAGCGATGTGGATTGGCTGAGTAGGAAGAGTCAAAGAATCCGTGGAATTGAGAAGGAAAGGTGTTGGAACACTGGGCTCTAGTTGCCCCAGAGGCGTTACGCTTCTGTACTGCCCCTGAATATATGGCCCCTTGATTTGATGCAGCAGCTATCTGCATGTGGAGCCACTTCAGACTGGTGTTTAGCACCTGCTTCCGTGAAACAATGTCAATTAATAATCCCCCAACTTTGCTTCCCCATTTGTCTCCAGCACTAGGCACCAGGGATACAAATAAGAGATGTCCCTGAACTCAAGACATTTAGTTTTAATAGAAGAGACAGAAAAGTAAAGCAGCAAGTAAGATATGAGGTGGTAGCTCTTATACATGTCTGCACAAAGGAGGGGCAGGAGTCAGGCTCCTTGGAGAGAGATTTGAATTGAATTTTAATTGCCAAGAACTCGCTTATTGCTCTCTAAATATTCCTTTTTTGTTGCATCCTGCTCTTGTTTCATAATGCAATATCTTCATTTCTCATTGATCTCTCTAGGGATATTATAGATGGATTGTTTTTGAAGTTTTCTGCTTTCGGTATACTTTCTGTTTCCTCTAAATTGCTTGTTTTGGTTTTGGTCTTTCACATTAGATGTTTTCCCTAAATGTGTGGCGATCTTTTGCTGCCTATTCATATTTTAAAGTGAGGCACTGAAAAGCTGATTGGAAGTTCTGTGTCAACCATGACCTTCACTGTAGAGTGATCTGTCTGGACAGTGTCCTTGGGGAAGCCCAATATCAGTATTTCTACATCTTTTATCTGAGATGGTCAGATTCCCCAGAGAAGGCTCTTCTGATCTCTTGCCTATGTCTGGAGGCCAAGTTGTGAAGAAGCCTGGGTTTCCTCAACATTCAGTATAGAATTTTCAGCTGATCCTCCTGTTTCAAGTTCCCCAGCCCTCTCCTCAGCTGAGCCTGGTGCCCTCAGTCCATCGACCCTCCCTGGGAGAGCAGTCTTCTAGTCTTCCACTGTGCTCTGGGAGAGGTGGGGTCTGGGGTCTAACTGTGCTCAGGCTTTCAGTAATTGCTCTTGCTTTAGCTGCACCTTCATCCCACTGCCACCAGTTCCTCTTGGGGCTTCTGTGATATGAGTCTGATTGCTTCTTGGATCTCCCTACTTTTGGTTTAGGATTCAGTCTGTCAGTCACTACTTGCTTCCCTGCTTTTCAGCTTCTGCTTTCATTCTTTTTATTTTTCTCAGTTTATACCTAAAAAAAAATAGTAACTCTTTTCTATGATTTTAGTGTGGCTTGGGGAGAGAGCAGAGCTAAAGGCATGAATTCAATATTTAGTTTTTCAAAGTAATGTGAATTCTTTTCATAGAACTGAGAATTTATACTTCTGAGTTTTTTCCCTTGATGGTATTTGCCTCACTGTATGTATTTGTCTAGGTCCTATCTTGACTTTCCTATTTCTGTTTCCTGTTTCAAATTGTTTTGACATCACTTATTCAGGCTTCAGCCTCTGGATACCTCAGCTTTCCCTTGAGTTGGAGGACACTAGTAATACCTGTCCTGTATTTCCACAGAGGAGAGATGCAGGGCCAGTAAGTCATTTGGGCAACACACTGATTGTAAAACCACACTGTGTATGTGACATAGTTCCCAACTGTGGAGAAGAGAAGAAAACACAAAAGAAGTGGTGCTTACCCTTAGGAATTTACAGTTTCTTAACTTAAGATGAGGTAGTGTTTTACTCTTTTAAAGAGAGATCTTTAAATTCCTTAGGTGAAAGGAGCAATATAAATTGTTGACTTTTGTTACTTCATTTACTATCTTGCTGGCACTATTCTTTTGAGCTCTCATGTCCATTCATAGTGTTTCCTCTTCATCATGCACCTTCATGAAATAGAAAATCGCTGTCTTAAAAATCATTCACTTTTATAACTGTTCACTCAAGCTTTTGAATCCCTTGGTCACATTCAGGTGAATGTCTGTCCTTCTTCAGCCAGGCTAACAGAAGCGTCTTTCTCCCTTCTTAGTCAACCTGGAAACCTAGAGAACGCCTTTGAATTACTTAGAAGGTTTTTGATGCTGTCAGTTGTTAAATATCGCTTCTCCTGTGTAGAGAATCTACAGAGTAGATCTTATGCTTATGGGAAATGATGTCAGGTTCAGAATAGGGTGAAGCTGATTTAAAATGTGCTGCTTCTAAAATGAGACATTATTGAAAACTCTAACGTACTTTGACTTTGTCAGTGTCCCAGTATTCTTTTTTCCTTTCTCCACCTCCAGCTGATCGTAAGGGATTAGTATACCCACAGAGTCCCTCTAACCCAGGATTTCTCAGCCTGAGCACTTTGACATTTTGGGCCAGATCGTTCTTTGTAGTGGGGGCTGTACTGTACATAGGGTGTTTAGTAGCATCCCTGGCTTCTACCCACCAGATACCAGTAGCAAGCTCCAAGTTGTGACAATCAAAATTGTCTCCAGACGTTGCGACATGTCCCCTGGGGGCCAGATTAGCCCTCAGTTGAGACCACTGCTCTAACTCTAGTCCATAAATGAAACTAGTTTCTCTTTTTGAGCCTCTCTTGACTAAACTTAACCTTTCCTCCCAATTAATCCAGCTCTGGGCCTGTGCAGAGGAGAGAGTGGTGCTTAGTGGCTGAGAGAGTAGACCTTGGAGTCTGACAAACCTGGGTATGAATCCTGATTCTGCATTTACTAGCTGTGTGACCGTGGGTGTGATGGTTAATCTCTTTGAGCCTCAGTTTCCTCATCTTTAAAAGTGGAAATAACAACATGTCTTTGTAGAATTGTTGTGAGGATTAAATGGGGTGACGTATGTGAAGCCCCTGACACACAGCATGTAGTAAGTGATTGTTGTTAACATTACACCTTTGTTCTCCTTTGTTGTTCAGTCTCCCTTGCACACACACACACACCTCAACACCTACACTAATTCTCCTTCTCAAAGAAATCCTATGGCATCAAGATGTCAGCGGTCTTGAACTTCAGCTTGCTTGGTTTGTTACTGAGCATTTTAAATTCTCAGACGGAAGCTGGAGGCTCCCTGAGTGGAAACAGAAAGCTGCAGCAGGGGAGAGCAGGCACCTTGTGACTGGAAGTAGTGCATTTGGGAGGACTAGAAACAGACGCAGGTTCCAGGCTTCCCAGCTTCCTCATCCAGAGAAGGGCTTGGGTCTCAGACAGTTGCTTTGATGGAAAATTTGAACATTGTATCTCTCTCCTTTTGTACTACTTCCTGTGGCAACTCTAGTTTCACTTGATGCGGATTTTATTTCTTCTCAGGCCTTACCTGAATCGTCGTACAGGCTTACAGTCTTCTAGGGTTGTTGTCTAGATCATAGGATTACTACAAGATGAAACTAGAAAATGCGTGTGTGGCACTTGGCACAAAGCAGGATTATACTACGTGCTCAGTACGTGACATCTGTTGCTGCTGCTGCTGTTCTAGTCGCTGTGAGGGAGGGTGTTCAATCTGGACAGAGCAGACCAGGCAGATCCCCAGAGTGCTAGGCCAGTAGAAGGAGCTTTGGGAGCCTTTCCTCTTCCCCATTTTATATCTGAAAGGTCCAAAGAGTATAGGCTACCCCTCAGGCTGTGCTGCCCTCTTCAGTGTTCCTAACCAGCCCGGGAAGCCTTTGCTCTTGGGATCTGAGTGGTGGTGGTGTTTCCTATCTTTGGTATTGTGAGATGACTAAGCAATAGAAATTACTTGGCCAATATAAAAGAATAATGATTACAAATATTCATAAATAGAAGTAAATAATACATGGTGGAAGACACGAAGTCATAAAATAAGACACGTTGGCTCAGTTCAAATACTGCTTTCCTGTGCTTTGGAGTGGTCTTTAATATATAATGTTTGCTGAACCAAACACTTATGAATTTTTCCCTTAAGGGTATGAGGATACTGCTTCATGGGGGAGAGGTCCAACTGAGTCTGTTAGTCTGTAATGCAGAGAATTGACGCCATTGGCTTGACCTCTGGGGGTGTGGGCGGGGGGTGTCTTGCAGGTCATGAAGACATATCACATGTACAATGCCGACAGCATCAGTGCTCAGAGCAAGCTAAAGGAGGCGGAGAAGCAGGAGGAGAAGCAAATTGGCAAATCAGTAAAGCAGGAGGACCGGCAGACCCCACGCTCCCCTGACTCCACGTCCAACGTCCGCATTGAGGAGAAGCATGTCCGGAGGAGCTCAGTGAAGAAGATTGAGAAGATGAAGGAGAAGGTGCGTATGCTCCGGCCGCTGTAGGGCCTGGGGAATAACACTCTAGTCAGGACTGGTAGGAATTTTCCTATAGGTGCCATGAAGAACAGAGCAAGGAAGCTCTGGGTTGCTTTAGTGCCTCATGAGCAAAAGTGAGTCCTTGCTATCTGCTGCGGAAGAAATCCTGGGTATTGGAAGAACTTGGGCATGTGGGCTCCAAGTTTTTAACCTAGCAGATAAATAATAAACAGTAGTCACCTTGCTTAAGCCTGGGAGAGGGACTGTAGACCCGGGGTTTGGCTTCAGATGCCAGGTGTTCAGGGGCAGCTCTAGTGACACCTCCTTTGGGGGGTAGTGCAAGGATGGAGAATGGTATTTGCAGATAGAACGAAAGTGGGACACGCATCTCAAGTAGAGAGCTCATTAACCTTTCCTGGATTGATCTGCATTATGCCCTTGAATCTCATTAAATAGAATTAGAACCCAATTTAAGGCAGATACGCATAGGGAGTAGCAACACAATTGTGGTTCTCGAACGTACTGTACTTTCATCTTTTAGAGAACAATCTCCCCTTTAAAAAAACAAAGTAAAATTGAACTTCTGTTCTCTTTTCAGCGCCAAGCCAAGTACACAGAGAATAAACTGAAGGCCATTAAAGCCCGGAATGAGTACTTACTGGCTTTGGAGGCAACCAATGCATCTGTCTTCAAGTACTACATCCACGATCTGTCTGACCTTATTGATGTAAGTGCTTAAAGCCAGGGGCCCAAGAGCACCTCTTTCCTGGTTTCGGAGATCTGGTTAGGCGTTCTCCAGTGGTGTTGCTCAAGCATCTCAGGCATTTTGAGAACAATTATGAACATAGTAGCCATGATCCATCAGAGGCTTGCCAGGGCCCAGGGCCCAGGTGAAGCACTTTACGCTTTATCTCATTCAGTCCTCACTGGAATCCTGGAAGAAGGCAGTATTATTGCCATTTTTATAAAATTCAGAGAGCTTAAATGACTTAACCAGAGTCAGCTAATAAGTGACAGAGGCAAAATCTGCATCTAGGTCTAGTTACTAAACCCATGCCCATAACTACTATGCTCTTCTGGAGAGAAGAAATATTCCCTTCCATCAGCTACTTGCACGTAGAAGTGAGTGGCAAGAGCTGAGGGGTTAGAATGCCATACCTTACCTTCATATAGCACTTAATGTTTCTCAGTATTATCTCGTTTGTCACAGCACCCTTTTGTTATCAGTATTACTATCTCCAGTTTGTAGATAAGGAATCTGCAGGTCAAGAAGGTTACTTGCTTAAAGTTGCACTGCAAATTAGGGCCCTGGTCAGGAAGGTATCCAGATGCCCCTGACATCTGGCCTGTGCTTTTTGATATGTGGCACAAAGATGATGAGAGAAACAGGATAGCAGGCACATGTGTTTTGCATGGGGCAGGCACAAGGGGTGAGCTTTTTGTCTTTGGCCTGATGGTTCAGCCTTGGCCTTGTTTCTCTGGCCACTCCCCCTCAAACCTTATGGCTGAGTCTTGCAATCTCTCTCACCTGCAGCCTCCGTTCTGGCCCAGTTCCTGAGCCAGTCCTGACTGCAGCTGCCTAAGTACACCCTTTCTCACCTCTCCCTCCTATCATCAAAGTGAGGGGCCTAGAGCCAGCCGATTTAGCACCAGCATCCCAGTCTCCAGGGCTTCAGGCGTATCCTGGCTGGGATCCTCTCTGAGCCCTGACATTTGCCTCTGGCTGTCAGCGGGCAGCAGCAGGGCTTTGCAAGCCTCTGGCCTTACATACTTGCTTGCCTGCCTTCGTTTCTCCGCGAACGAACCTGCCACACTTCACAACATCACATGGGGTTCTGCTCTAAGATTCGTTGTTACATAACTAGCTGGGTAATGTGGGGCTTATCACTGAATTGTTTGGGAACTCTGCTTGGTTGCCCCTCTCCCCCACCTCTCTCTGGCAAACAAGGATTGGACTAGATCATTGGTACATAAATCTGGCCTCACATCAGAGTTGCTTGGGGAACTTTTCTAAAATACAGATTTTCTCTCTGTCTTCAGCTGGGGATTTTGATTCACTAGGTTTCGGCCTCTTGATGCTCTGGGTGTCCTTGTCTCACTGGGTAAGAGGAGCCCTGATCCTTGTCCAGGCACCTCTTTCTTCTCTCTGCTTGTTGATGCCAATCTGAAACACTGTCCTTCAAGGAGGTCAGAGCCCTAAACAGGATCTTTTCTCCTCCGCAGAGGAACAGCTCCTCACTGTTGGGAGAGAGGCCTGTTCTCAGCATGAAGAAAAGAATCAGTTCTTTCTTATGTTCGATTTCTGCTGTTTATCTCACATTCAGTAAAAAATCAGACTGTGCAGTCTGCCTCACCTCTTCTCCTGGTTGGTCCTTTTCTCTTTCTTTTGCCTCCCAGGGCAGCTTGCCCACTGCTTTCACCAAAATGCTGACCTCGGGGGAAGAGAGGGCCAGCTACCATGTCAGTCACAGCCTTTGCTATCCATAGACCCTCTGTCAGCTGTGAGCAGGTCTAAGAAGCAAGTTATTTGGCACCTTATTCTCATCATTAAAAAAAAAGGATGTTAAGAGCCTGTCTTCACAGGCTGCCGTGTGAGGTGCTGCGGAAAAGAAGCCCACCAGCCTCCTTTGCGCTCAGCCAGGGCGTGGCTCGAGGTTACTGTGAGCAAGTCCAGGTTGGTAGGATTCTAAGCCACATAGATAGTAAAGTTGCTCTTGTTTTGTTTGTTTGTTTTTGTTTTTCCTGGGATTTGGATAGATTAATTACTCTTTAAAAGAAAAAGGTTGATAACATTATTCTGCTCTACAAATGTTCAGTAAATATTTATTTGCGATGAGCCTATGTGCTCAACATCAGGAGTACAAAAGGAATAACATAGTTTTTGCCCTAGGGTGTTCATCGACGTACAGACAGGTCACTTCTATGTAACTGGCTAAGTGCAGCACTCGAGGTAAGCACCGCAGCCTTAGCACAGTGCTTTTCAGACCATAGGTCATGATCCGTTAGGGGAGTCGTGAAATCACTTATATGGGCTTGACTATTTTTTTAATGAATAAACTGGACTAGAATAGAGCAGACTAGAATAGAATAGGAAAGAAAATGTCAAGGTGCATCACACTGTAAGGTTGAGTTTTGTTTTGTGAAACTATTACGTTAGGTGTGTATGCACACTTGCACACCCACGGGCGTGTGTATGCATGTGTGTGGCAATATAAAATGTATTTTGCACTGTGAGTTGGAGGTCAAAAAAAGTTTGAGAGCCACCGCACTACGAACAGAGGAAGGTCTTTTAGTCTCCTCTGTAAGCTCCGCGAGGGCAGGAACCAAGTCTTCTCCTTACCTTCATACCTACGTACATACGTACGTACAGTGCTTAATACATAGCTGAGCACGTGGTGTTTTCACTGAAGGAGGAAAGGAATAGAAGGAGGAGGAAAAAGATGATTTCCCAAGGCAAGATTTTTTTCCTTTTTCTGCCCTTTAATACTGTTTTAATTGAGATATAATTTTCATACAGTGAGTGAACTTGTGTTATAGTTTTGAGTTGTGATAAATTCGTACACCCTTGTAACCCACATTTCTGTCAAGATATAGAATATTTCTACCACTTCAGAAAGTACCTCTTTTCTCTTCTCAGTCAATCTGCCACCCCAAGTAAACCACTGTTCTGATTTCTTTCATCATGGTTTTGCCTGTTGTAGAACTTCACAAAGATGGGATTCCTATACAGTATATACTTTTTTGTTCCTGGCTTCTTTTGCCCAGCATGATATTTTTGAGCCTTATCCATGTTATTGCATGTGTCAGTACTTTCTTCCTTTTTCTTGCTGATCTATGCAGTAAAAATGGCCAAAAGGACACTTTGGCAGTGAACCAACAATTAGAGCAGAAGTAAGTGGGGAGCCTGGGTACTTTGGCATTTTGATCTTGACAGTGTCCAGAACTTACTTTAAGACATGGGATGAATCTTGTTCCAGTCTATTGCCGTCTGTGTCATGGACACCAGTCTGCCTCCTTCCTAGTGATGTTGAAGCTCAATGTGTGCTTAAGGCGTTGCGGGTAAGTGAGAAGAAGTTATTTTTGTCGATGCCAGGACATTGACTTGTACAAGGACTAGCATTTGACTTCTTTTTATAATACAGTATGAGATTTAAACTCAAACTGTAGGAGTCCGCATGAGGCATCTGACACACACCAGGAAAACCTTGACTTCAGGCCAAAAAGATATTCTGAGCAGACTTGATAGAGTCTAAGAACTGTGGGCTTGTTGGAATGTGACTTTCCTCCCCTGTACTCGCGTGGCTCTTTCCACCCAGGAGCAGATGGATGAGTGAAGAACAGGGCATTGTCCTCACGCAGAGCTGGAGTGTGTTAGTGCTCCATACATGGGGAGAGAATCTGTGACACCATGTGCACCCAAGTCGGACAGAGGGAGCTCGGCTTTCTCAGGAGGAAATTTTATAAAGGAACCTTTTTTCTCTTATTTTTCTCTTCTGTGTGGACTTGAAGTGGGGTTTAGGAAACACCCATTTCTTTTCTAGGCCTTCTCTGGAGTCTCTGGATGAAGATATCAGCTGGTAAAGGGTTAATGAGCTGTCAACTCAAGTCCTCACGCATCTAGATGGGCTATCATTAAATTCTCATAAAAATTTGATTTCCCCTGAGAGAGTTTTCATCAAACATTTATATAACCCAGAAATGGCCAGGGGAGCCTGGCATGGCCACAGAACTCGTCAGAAGCCATGAAAAGCATACTCTGTCCCCATTGTGAGCAAAATAATGTGCTGCCTCTACTCACTGGGATTCTCTTGGGAACAGGGATGAAATATTCGTCTCATTTACCTAAGCTTGCCAGAAATAGCTTCTTTGCTAAAGCCTCAGTTTCTGCTTCTTGCCCCTGCAGATAGGTGAATAGCCAGGGCTCTTGCAAACCTAGTCTGAGTCTCCCTGGTTGGCTGGAGGCATAGAGGGGCCAGAGGGCACATTGTGAGTCAGACCCCCACTCCTTGGCACAAAGAAGCTATAGAAGAGTTATATAATAGAGGTAGTGGACCAGCCTGAGGAAGTTCCCTGCCTTTCATAGGCCGTACAGAGTGAGCAAAACAAAAGGCTTCAGGGGCCACCTCTACCCACTTGACTTAGATCAGTGCTCAGCCTGAGTGGATTATTTCCTGAGAGGCTGGAATCTGTACTCCTGGCATCAATTAATCAACTGATGTTTATTAACTGCCTACTGTGAGCAGGGCCTAATGGTGAGGGATACAAAGAAGGAGTAAGACACCGCACGGCCTCCTTGAAGCTTGCCTTCTGGTTGAGGTGCTATGAAATGGCAAGTCAAAGAATAGAGAGTGTTCTCTGTCACGTGAGGGCTGCAGATGCATGTTCTGAGTGGGGGTCAAGGTCAATATATGCCAGGGGTGTAGGACTGGCTGCCTTTTCAGAGACTGGGAATTTGATTTGGATCTTAAAAATGTGTCCAATTCCAACAGGTGAGAGGAGTAGGAGACATTTTAGGCAGAGAGAATGCTAGCAGCCCAAGGGCAGAGGTCAACGGATTTGGGGATATTGGTGATTGGGGTTTGGTAAGTGTCTGCATGGTGCCAGACAGATGTAAATATATTGCCTGTTATCAGCCTCACAAGAACCTATAAGGCTGATGTTATCTCCATCTGAGGCTCAGAGAGGTTAGGTATCTTGCTCAGTCATACAGCTGATTTGAGGCCTATGGTTTTCCAATACTTTACCCTAAACAGAGAGTATATCATTGAATTAGAGCAGAAGAGTCTGAAGAAGAAAATAGAGGGAGATGATGTTAGACATTCAGACTGAAGACAGATTACAGTTTGTTCTGGCTGTTGACCTTGCTTAACTTCACTAAGCCTCAGCTTTCCAGTCTGGAAAATTAAGATAACACCAACCTCATTGGGGTTATGAGGATTCAAGTGTAGAATGTACATAAAGCATTAGCACGCTGTCTGGCCTGTAGTAAGCTCGCTTAGTAAACAGAGGCATTTTTAAATTTCCAAACTGAGGAAGGTGGACTTGACTTTAGGAAAAAATGAGAGCTATTATAATTTTTTCCACAGGGGAGTGGCATCATAAAAGCCATATTTTAGGACAGTGAAGTAGACAGCACTGCTGTAAGATGATAAGGGTATGAATTAGGGAAGAGGTAGTGAGAATGGAGAGGAAAGGGGAGTTATCAAAACTATGTAAAGGTTATGAAGGGCTCCCTGCCTCCCCCTAATTCTCTTCTGCACTAAACTTTCCCCCGCCCCGACACGGACACACGCACACACTTGCTCGGCCCTGTGGGCAGTGTTACTTCTGTTTATTAGACTTATAGGCATAGAGTTCATCATCAGAGTCTACATAGAGCTAGTCAGGAATGTTTACAGGTTCAAGGGCAGCCTGGCTAGACCAGTGTCTCCCAGAGGAGGTAGGGCCCCTGCACGTGCAGCCTCCCAATCAGCCGCTTTTGTCTAGCTTCCATTTGCTCTTCACTCCCAACTGAATGGAATGTCTTTCCATCCTCCGCCTCTAGTTAAGCTATAACTGCTGTTCTTCTGCTGCAGCCAGGCACCTGCCAGAGCTTGTTGGCACTGAACCCAGAGCACAACCCGACAGGAGCTCTATTGCTGAGCTTCTTGTCAGATGCTGGGAGGAGCAGGCACGTCACATGCTTTTTCTTCCCCAGTAGTGGCTGCTCCCAATGTGATTGTGATGAGGGGGAAAGGCTGGAGAAGAGTTACTTTGGTGCCTGCTTATGGAATGATGTGGCCATCAGGCAGATGGTCTTACTCTATCCATGATTCTTCTCTGATGTTTCTTCTCAGGTTCTGGATCTCAAAGCTGCTTAAGCAATAGAGAGGATAATGGATGGCCAAGGAATTTGGATCTCTGGGTCCTTTGGGAGGGCTGGGGAATATTGTCATAGAGTTAGAGAATGCCATTGCTGAAGAGCCTGAGGGATTACATTTAGTCCAAGTATTTTTCTCTAGCAGAAGAATTCTTTCTTCAAACCAGACCTTACATAGAATCCCAAAATATTAAATAGAAGAAAGAGCAGAGCTGGTTTGGTTGAAGCAGGAATAGGAGGCTCCAAGTCCTACTAGTCAGGCTGCCCTTTTACCTCCTTCTCAAGAGCAGCCTGAGCAGTGGCACGCAACATTAGGGTTCTGGTCTACAGCTTGCAAACCACTGACCTGGCCAAATCTGTTCATTTTAGAGTCGAGGAAACAGGTTCAGGGATGGAGAGTAGCTTTTCCAAGGTTGCTTGACTTCCCATCCAGTGCTTTTTTTATACTATTGCCTCTTTCATACCATTTTTTTTCCATCTTGCTTTAGAAAATCAGAATCCTTTACATGAACTGAATTTTTTCAGTAAGACTTATGTTTAGAAATTTGGGGTCTTATAAATGCAATTTCTGTAGGGCAGGAACTTTAGTGCAGAAATCCTCATCTGCAGCTAAGGCCTGTGCTAGTATGTTGGGAGTTGGTGGGAGCAATGACTGACAGTCAGCCCCCCGTTCTCTTCTCCTTCCACCTAGAGTTCTGAGTTTGTGTCAATTAACTATCCTTGCAACACTTCTGATTTCTGAACCCTGAAGGCTGAAATGGCCTGGATGGGTTGGTACGTAGTGACTTAACCACAGTAACCCTCAGGGAATGGCAGGCTATATTTTTATTGTTGAATTTTGTTCAGAATCCAAAAATAGAAGAGGATTCCCTTTAACTCTCAGCTCTTCTCATGTTTGCCAAATGGTATTGTACAAGGCACGATGAAATCATTTCATTTTGTCCTAATAAGTCCTCTTCCTTCTAACCACCTCAAGGTCTTCTAGGGTGTGTTTAGCTGTTGAGCTGGGAGTCAAGAACTGAGAAATCTCACCCAGATCTTGGAAGTCAGAATGTCAGCCTTCTTCCTGCTGCACAGCCAGTCCCATTGACTTGGTCAGATCTCCCTAGGGACCACTCTCCCTTTTTCCCAAGCCTTGGGGCTGTCCGTGGTTTGCTCACGTGCCCTCTCCTTCCCACAGCAGTGCTGTGACTTAGGCTACCACGCTAGCCTGAACCGGGCGCTGCGCACCTTCCTCTCTGCTGAGCTGAATCTGGAGCAGTCAAAGCATGAGGGTCTGGACGCCATTGAGAATGCTGTAGAAAACCTGGATGCCACCAGTGACAAGCAGCGCCTCATGGAGATGTACAACAATGTCTTCTGCCCACCTATGAAGTTTGAGTTCCAGCCCCACATGGGGGACATGGTGAGGCCCTCTTCCTATCCCCACACTCCCCAAGGAGGTTGAGCTCACTTGTAGATTCACTAAACCGAAGCCACGTGATTCTGGGAAGAGCGAGGCCTGGGACTGGCTTCCTGTCAGGTGGGTGAGGTGCATTCCACTCATTCAGCAGACAGCTACTGAGTGCCTGCTGTCTGCTAGGCTTGACGGTAGACATTGGGGATTAGAGCCCTCGGGGAGCGTACAGTGTGGTGAGTTGAGAGAGAGTTAGAAATACGCACAGGGGCTCCCAAAGGAACCAGCAGGATCAAAGGAGGTGAAAAACAGCAGGTGTGTTCTAAAAACTACTAACCGGTCAATACGGTGAAAGGGAAAGTGGCAGCGGGGAGTTGAGGGGGGTCCCTCCATGTGTTGAGGCTGGAAGAATTGAGAGCTGAGATGGGGCCAGATACTAAAGGCTTTTGACCTAAGCAGGGTAATGATATGATCTTTTATCATTTGGCAGAGTTCTGAAGGATCTTATTGTCTTGGGTTTAGAAGATTGCAATGAAAGGTGTAATTTTGCTTGGGTATTGAACAAAAAAAATTGGGTACATACAGAAAAGACAGGAGCTAAGATGTCATCCCAAAGGCCTGATGCTGGTTGCCTGGGAAGGGAAACATGAGCATGGGGACCCCATTTTGGACTTTTCACCTTCAATGACTAAAACAAGAAGGGCCTAAATAAACTAAAGTGAGAGCAATGAGAAGCTGCTTGGCTTTCATTACTCTGAATCTTTTGGTTTCACTTCTGGTGGCTGTGCATACAAATCAGAGTGAACCTTATTCCTGTGGGTAGGAGCCACTGTGTAACTTAGTGGTTAAATCAGAAGGAGGGTATATAGGGCTGGCCTGGTGGCGTAGTGGTTAAGTTCGCATGCTCCACTTCGGTGGCCCCGGGTTCACGGGTTCGGATGCAGGGTGCAGACCTACACACTGCTCCTCAAGCGATGCTGTGGCAGCGACCCACATACGAAGTAGAGGAATATTGGCACAGATGTTAGCTCAGGGACAATCTTCCTCAAGTAAAAAGAGGAAGATTGGCAGTGGATGTTAGTTCAGGGACAATCTTCCTCACCAAAAGAAAAAAGAAAAAAAGGAGGTACAGGCTTATACATCCAGAGTATAGAAAAACAGGATGGATCTTCAGGCATGGTTGGATTTAGGAATTTTTTCAAGGATTTAGGGGACTTTATCAAGACTCAGTTCTTCCTTCTCTGCTCCATATCCTCTGTGTTGACTCCATTCTCACATAGGCTTTTAACCCCCGCGGGCAAGGTGACTGTATTTCCAGCCTTATCTCCTTGTAGGTTGGAATCCAGCAGAAAGTGTATTTGCTTTCCCTCCTAGAAGCACCCACAAAAGTCTCATTATGTCTCCTTGGTTCTGATTGGGTGATGTGCTTATCCCTGAGCCAATCACTGTGGCTCAGTATCTACAGTTGGCTGATTGGCTTATGCCTAGGTCACATGCTCTGTCCCGGAGTTGAGGAGAGCCCTGTCCAAAGCACGGTGCCTGAGTCTGGAGTAGGAGGTTCCCCCAGAGGCAGTCAGACCAAAGTTACCAAAAAAAGGAGGGATGCATGCTGGGTGGCCAAAAAACAACAATGTCCTCTCACCAGGATGGTGTTTCCATTAGGATTAGCATCCAGACTGTCTTTAGAAAATCTTGCTCCAGAATGACAGCTGTTGCAGTGTAACCAGAGGATTCACTGTCATCGATAGGCCTCTATGGATAGTGGGACATTTTTATCCTAAAGACAAAAATGTGGAGATGATTTCTTTCCTCTCCTTCTTGGGGAAAACCAAACAATTTACAATTGTTTCCATTGCTGTGGCTTAGGAAATGTCAGTGTCTGAACAGATGGGGAAGTGAGATGGCAGCATGTGCAATTAGAGTAGGGGGAAGAGGTGTCACCAAGCCCCAGGAAGCCCCGTTCCTCACCTGCCCTGGCTTCTGGTCCAACTTGCCTTCCAAGCCCCTTCTCCAGCTGTCACTGAAATTCTTTCCCAAGAATCATTGGAACTTGGGGACCAGCTGAGTGGAGTGATACATTTTCTAGTGTTGCCTGAGTTGCCTTCTGAGCCAAACAGCTTGTCTCCATAAAGGGGGAATCCAAATGCTAGGTGCTCAGGCCCCCTCCTAGCCCCATCAGAACCTCATTTCCATCCTCGAGAGCACAGCTGGAATGCATTACCTTGCACCCCGATAGAGAACCACTGTCAAAGCATGCATCAGCAAGTCTGCTGCTTCTTAAGGCAACAGGCGTGGAAGTGGTTTTCCCACGATTCCTCCCTGCTAGGTGTGGGTTACTTTAAAAATCAATAGTTTATCCTGCTGAGGCCTTCTCTTTGTGTGATATAGCTGATCAGCGGCTGAGCCAGGCAAGGGCCAGGGCCAGTCCTAGAGCTTGCAAAGGTTTTGCATTCCAGCCTAGCCATCATATGGTGGAAAATAAAAAGAGATGAGAGGCCGAGTCTTTCTTGTTCCCTGCAGCTAGTCTATCCCCATCAGTGTGGGTTGTCTATAGACTGTGGAGGCAACAAGAGGGAGCTGCCTGGAAGTCCTTGCACTAGGGCCAAAGTTCAGGTGGCATTTTGACCGGAAGCCTTGAAATTGGCCAAGGCCCCACACTGACTGGTGTTCTGGGGTGTTCAGCACGTGAGCTGATGCCAAGCACTCTCAGATGTACTAGGAGGAGGTGCTTGGCTCTACTCTTGGTGCCCCCAGAGGCTTGTGGGGCTCTGGATGCCTGACCGGTGACATCAGACAGCCAGAGAGTTTCACTCTTGGCGCTAACCCATCCTGGCCACCGAGCTTTCTCCATTGTGTCTGCTCATCCAAGAGCCAGAATGAAGTCAGCTCTCCAGATCTGAGAGCTGGCTCAGGCCAGCCTCTCAGCCGGGGGAGGAGGTCAAGTCAGTTGGGAACTTAAAAGCCAATAGAGGAAAAGGTCAAGTCCCAGCCCCCTCCATTTGAAGAGAGGTTTTGTCTTTTCATGCAAGAGAATGATCTGTGGGCATGTGGATGTGCTCACTCATTCCTGGGGAAGAAGGAGGCCAGTTCTGTCCAGATGTCTCTCTGCAGACAAGAAGCTAAGGGACACATGGTGGCAAGGTCACAGGAGCTGCCTCCACGTGAGTCTTGCCTTCCAATCTGCCAGCCTTCTGTTCTTCATCTGTCATCCTGGGAATTGTGGGTGACCTCATGCCCATGCCATAGCCATGCTCTCATCAGGAGACAGCGGCTCAACCATCCCTTCACACAAGGGAAAGCTTACTGACAATGATCCTTAGGGGAAGGGCAGACTTCTCTCCCACACGGATCTGGTGAAGACCTGGGGTAAAAGGATGGCTCTTTGAAAATGCCAATGTCCACCAGATTCCATGCCCTTTGGGGCTCTCTAGCATAGACTTGTTCCTGGCTTCACACTTTCTCTCATTGAGTCAGAGCTCTCACGCATGGCCCAGATTTATAAACACAAGCTGACTGCCAATAGTGGCAAGTTAGCCTCCTGACCCACTTCTCTCCTGCTTTTGCTCCAGTGTATGAAGGGAGATGAAGGAGGGGTCAGAGAGGTGGCCTCTTGGACCTTTAGCAGGAAATCCTCACTGTGCCAAGTATTGTGTATCTGGAGCTGGGGCTGCCCCAGGCACTCTTCTCTGGCCTAACTGCCACTTCCATGGAGCCACAGACCCGGTGTAGACCTGCCCCTGCCTAGCGCTAGCCTCGAGATGGGCTCCAAAAACAGAGACCTGGTCTTTCCAAACAGGTCCCACTTCTCATTCCTTTCTTGTGCTGTTTGGTCCTAGAAGAGGTCCACACACTTTGGCTTTGGAATTTGTTTCAACAAAGAAGCTATGAACCTCACAGCTTGAATATGTATAGTTTTATTAGCAGTAATGGGACTCGGCAACCACCGAAAGAATTGTGTCCTCTTCCTGACCTGGTATTTCTTTTGGCAGGCTTCCCAGCTCTGTGCCCAGCAGCCTGTCCAGAGCGAGCTGGTCCAGAGATGCCAACAACTGCAGTCTCGCTTATCTACCCTAAAGATTGAGAACGAAGAGGTGAGTTTCCTGCTTAGGAGGCTCAGAGCCACCCTCTGAGTTTCCCCGTCAAACCTCTTGCTGCTGCCCATCTGGGAGCAGGTGGAAGGAGCGTGCAGAGAATGTCCGGGCTGCTGCAGACGTTTCCTAGCCAAATGTAAGCTTGGATTTTTCCCTCCTGCTACATCCTGCCCTTGAACTCCAGGAAGTGGCTCTTGCATTGCCAAAGGTTGAGCTCTATTTTGAGCTTTTGCAAAATGCATTTTTCCCCCCTCTACTACACGTTTAATCAAAATGGCACTTGGCAGCTGTGTGAACAAGATTGTGTCTCTGAAACCACCCCCTCATGCTTGGCTTTTTCCAGCATTTTCAAACAAACAGAGGCCTTTGACTTGGACACTTCAAACATCTCTGTCCTCTTAGAAAAGGGTGACTTTCTTCTGGGCTTTCAATAGTCAGTTCAAAAGGGCAGTATGATTGATTATCCAGCTCCTTTCTTTTGAGCTCACATGACTTCTTACCTGGCGTCTCAGTAAGTTTTGCTTTTCCTAGGAAGATCAGGAAAGACTAGGGATGGGTTGCTTCATTTGCAAATGGTGAAACCAGCTCATTGATTTGTTGAAAGTCACGAAACAGAACCTGGGACATTGCAGTACTAGGCCCATCACACATTTTAACCAACTCTTTGTATAGTGGGGCTGGTTTGGATTTGTTTCATTGTCTCTCCCTTAGCACTTCCATTAGAGCCAAGAGCTAATATTAAATTTAAAAAGTAAACATTAAATAAAAGAGCTGGGTCATGTACGTAGCATTAAGTGGGTGGTGGCTTTTAGGTCCTCGCTGGAGAGAGTAACACTGTGTGGCAGAGTCCTTGTGATGTTTATCAGTCACTTAGTGTCGTCTGATGGGAGGCAGAGCTGCATCCTCTAACAGCACCCTCCCTCCTTCCTCAGCCCACTCCTCTCCCACTTCTCTAAGCTTCTCTATCACCTGCTGTGTTACAGCCTACTCCTCATGCATTATGTTGACCCTTGTCATGGCAGGTAAAGAAGACAATGGAGGCCACTCTGCAGACCATCCAGGACATTGTGACTGTTGAGGATTTTGACGTGTCTGACTGCTTCCAGTACAGCAACTCTATGGAGTCCGTCAAGTCCACAGTCTCAGAAACCTTCATGAGCAAGCCTAGCATCGCCAAGAGGAGAGCCAACCAGCAAGAGACAGAGCAGTTCTATTTCACGGTGAGGGAGCTCAGTGGCCTTTGAAGATCATCTTTAGGCACTGAAGCACACAGGGAGATTTGGAACCTAGAGTCCATTGTCAAGGGTCTAAAGGGCAGTCTTTGAATATCCTGGATTTGGATCTGGGCATATTCAGAGACCATACCTACACTTCAAGGCACAAACATTTACAAGTTGTATGTGTCTAACAGGGACCTCCAAGAGAAAAGATGTTCCCAAGTACACTATCAAGAAGATTTTATTTTTTAAGAATTTTTTAACCAGCTAGTAGGCTTTTGTTTGAAAGTTTCTTTCTCAGCCATAGGGAGTCACGAAAGGGGGACTTCATCTCTTGGTTCTTGGGAAGAACATCCAAATATTCTGGCTAACACATATCTTGTTTTTAAACTGTAGTCTCTGTAGTCTCTTCTAGATGGTATGATGACATTATTTTATAATTTTTGTTGATGGGAAATTATTTTTTCGTAATTATTGCTAAAATTCAAAGGGGCAAGTAATGTGCAGCATTGTTGGTTTGCAGAGAATTCTAGAACATTGTATTTTGTTAATCATGCATCTCCCAGTCTTCTTTTAGACAGATGGACCCAATTTTTTTAAAGTAGTGTTAACAGTCCTTTGAAAGGTTGCTGGCTGCTCTTTGGTGCTGCTTTTTAATAATTAAGTTATTTTGAGCTTGCCAAGTAAGATTTATTGCCCGGACTAAAATTTATTTCCTAATCTTCTGACGACCAAGAAAGGAGAAATTAAGTTTGCAGATGTGAGATGAAATATAGCCAGTGAATATGCATACTGATTCTGAATGAGAGGAATTAACTTGTTTTACAGTCAAGAAACACAGTCTGCATGCAGTAAATTGAATTTTTCCTCCAACTAGAACAATTTGTTTAATTCTTCTTTGAACATTGCCCTTTCTCCATTAAGAACACTAGTGATTTGCTATCTTTTTTTCAAAAAAAAAATCTGGTGTTTTACTTAGTTAAGCTCAGAATTCAGATTTTTTTTTATCCTGAAGAAGACTGATGAAAGGGAATGATTTAACAGTATTATTCTTTTAAAATAACTTTTTTTCTCTTGTTATACAAAACATGCTTATTATATAAAATTTTGAAGCAAAAAGGAGAAAATAAAAATCATCTGTAATCCCACTACCTAGAGATAATAGTGTTAGGATGTATTCCCTTCCAGTCTTTTTTCTATGCGTAGATAAAACACATATCTGAGCATAAATACATTTATAATTTTGTTACAAAAAATGGGATACTGCTGTACATATTGTTTTATAATGTGCTTTCACTTAACAAATTGTTAATATTTTTCTAAGTCATTTAATTATAACAGTCTAAATATACTTATGAGTAAAATACTAAAATCTGTACAAAGAAATAATGGAATGATATTTTGGTTCATTCATTAATTTTTGTAAAATATTTAGCACACCTTTTTGTAGTTAGTGCTCAGTAAATGCTGAAAATTTATTATCACCATCATCATTATTAATTTATTTATTGACGATGTTAACTTACTCACTGATCATTTATTGAGAATCCACTGTGTGCCAGACACGATGCTATAAGCTGGGAACACTGAGAGTACACAGTGAAGAGGGGAGTGATGGGATTGGGCATATCAAGGGGCAACTTCCATTTTTGTGTGTGTGTGTGTGTGTGTGTGAGGAAGATCGGCCCTGAGCTAACATCCATGCCAATCCTCCTCTTTTTTTTTTTTTTGCTGAGGAAGACTGGCCCTGGGCTAACATCTGTGCCCGTCTTCCACCACTTTATATGGGACACCGCCACAGCATGGCCTGATAAGTGGTGCATTGGTGCGCGTCAGGGGATCCAAACCCAAGCTGCCAGCAGCAGAGCGTGCGCACTTAACTGCTACGCCACGGAGCCGGCCCCAGCAACTTCCATTTTTACTTCATGTAAAAGAGCTAAATAAGGCACGGAGGCATGCGGAAGCCCGGGGTGGACGCGGAGGGAGAGAACTTGCCTATGATGAGGGCTGTGTCCTGCCCCAAGCTGTGTTATCTCAGGAGCTCGTTGAGCACTCTAGAGGCTTTTAATAATAGGATTGTTTGGCTGGTCTGTCTGGACTGCTTAGATACAGCGCTGCTTAAATGACCCAATTTCATTACATTGCAGAACATTTCCGTTTTTTTGATTAAATAAGAAATTTTGGACATAAAAATCTGTATTTAAGACTGTCCGATTGCTTTTTGGCTTTAAATGAACCTGTGACATTCGTATTCAAAGCTGACCTTTAATAAGAGCGGAGATGACCATATTCAAACTGGTGACCTCCAGATCCTGCCCACCCTTTCACCTCTGTCTCAATGCATTGAAGTCCTCTAACCCATTTCCTGTCTTTTGTGGCTATAGTGCTACTTATCAAAATTGTGTGCAGATTTCCTTGGCTAAGAGGGAAGTTTTTTGTCTGGGCTTGTCTAGTTTTTGTCGGGTTTATAAGAGAGTTCACCATTTTCGTGACTGGTGCTAGGAATGCGTCAGATAAGTCATTTCATGATAAAAAGGCTGTTTTGGGTGGTGAAATGGACATTCAAGAAAAGGGAGTGTGCAGGTTAAACAGGATGGCTGCCTGTGCTTGCCAGCCATACAGACCAGCACAACTGCAGACGTGCTTTTCAGTCTGTTGCCTCCACAAATGTTGCCCAGGTGTTTCCCTGTGCCCTTCAAAAACATCCGAGGAGCGTATCCTGGAAGCTCCCTTCTTCTGGAAAGTTGGGAAGAGGTCCCCTGGGCTGTGACTCCTAGGTAATGTGTCTAGCGACCAGAGGGCTGCTGGGACAGCTTTCCCAACTGCTCTCGGCTCATCAGGTTCACCTGCCCAGATGACATCAGTTGGAAATTTGAAGTAGGACCTATAAAGGCCAGTCATTTGTCAGAGTCCCAGGAAAATCATCATGGAATTTTGAAGCTTGAAGTGATTTTTAAAAATCTTCTAACCAAAACCGTCTCATCTCAGTGTTTAAAAAAAAAAATCTCGAGTTTAGAGATTTTTAGAAGCAACAAGATGGGTTGCTTGTCCAAGAAACCCAGCAAGAGCTGAAAGTATAACTCTGGTCTCCTGGTCTTGGGCCACAGGCTTTTTCTCTACACCCTGGAGAGCAGAGGTGAAGGAAAGGCTCTCTCCCCTCCAGCAGCTCTCTCCTCTTCTCTGCCCTGAGTGAGATGTTTCCCCATCTACTTGGCACTCATCTTCTGTAACACTCAATCCAGCAAGGTCTGCTTTTTTCCCCATTGCCTTTTTTACTGTGATTGTTAAAAAATAGTTTTTTTTAAAGATGCAAAAATTTCAAAAGAGCATACAGAAAAACATCAAGCTTCTACCAATCCCTGACCCCTGCCTCTCGTCCCCTCTGCCAGTGATTGAAACCAGTTTCTTCTGTGGTCTTCCAGAGATCTTCTATGCAGAAATCACCACTGACGGTATTCTACTGTATTCCACTTAATACAGTAGAATTACATTAGAAATGCAATGAAATAAAATAAATAGAAATGCAAAAAGAAGAATACCACTCATACTGTTCTTTACTTTGCTTTTTTTCACTTAATTTACTTAGGATATTATTTTCATATTAGTCCTGAAAGATCTGCCTCCTGTTTTAATGGCTGCGCAGAACTACGTTGCATGGTTGGATATACCATCATTTATCTAACGAATTCCCTGTTCATGGGCAGTAATGGTCGCTGTTTAGCCAAGGATTGTCAAAGCCTTATAAGGCTGGCATTCCTCCTAAGTATTTCCTTGTATGGAGAATGGAGTAGGGATGGGGTTAATGATTGTGGTCGATAAAATAAACAAAGCTAGACTGGCTGAATTCTTGGGGGCAGAATTGGATCTGGTAATAGGAGAGGAGATGGTGCTGTGGCCAGTGGGGCAGTGCTCTAGACCTCCAGACTTGGAACTGTGGTCCGCGCTCTTTTTCCATCTTGGTGTTCTCCTGCAGACCCTCAGCAAATGTGTGCTAAGCAGGTACAAATGAATGAATGCCCCTGCCCTGTCAATTCAAGTGGGGAGATGTGCTCTTCTTTAAAGGTTTGCTGTATTATATATTCTGTCTGACAGCTGTTTCCTGTGTTAAAAATTGACGGGGAGGAGGGGAAATGTCACTGTGCCTGGATGGTGGGGAAGCAGCCACAATAATGACATCTGTGTGTCTCTGGGCATGGGACTGGGTGGGCATCGCTCACTACTCCACCCACCCCACCCCTTGTTGCAGTAGATGCTTACGGCCTTGGGTTCACACTGATTATGTCCAAGGCATAAGCAAGTCCTGTGGGTTTTACACCTCCATGGTAAGACACTATTTTAAAGGGAAGAGGTATTTAAAAATTAAATTTGAAAACATTCTCATGCCTCTTACTATTTTTTTTTAAGGCCAGAAACATGATTTGATTCAGCTGTCTTATGTAAATTAGCACAAAGCAAAGCGGTTTAGGGAAGGACTGTTTTTCACTTAACTGAGCAGGCGACTCCGGTGTAAGGAACACTTTTGAGAACCTGTTAGTTGCTGGATTCTGTGCACATAGTCACAGGCATGCTTGTTATCCTATTTCATCTTCAACAACCTTGTGAAAAAGATATTATTATCCCCATTTTTCAGATGACGAAATGAAGATTCTGGGGGTTAAGTGACTTGCCCAATGTTAGAAGAGTCAGTAAGTGGTAGGACTAGAATGTTTCAACTCAGGCTTTTTCATTTTACTGCAACTAAAATGTCTTTCAGAGAGGGGGGACTTAGAAAGGAAAACTGTTACATTAATACTTTTCAATAAATAAAACTCAATGCTGACAGTTAATGACCATTTAGGAATTATTAAGAAATAAGTTAATGAGATCATAAAAACTGAACTGAAGGTTCACAATGGCAAAAAAGCAAAACCACTCAATAGACTCTTTACCTCCCTTCCTACTCGTTGAAGAAATCCCCAGTTTTGATAATACTGATTGTAAAATTTGGAGGTGGGGCATGGCACTGGTCAGACTGTGTTTAGGAATTTGATTTTATTTGGTGATCTGGAATAGAACACTGCCCTCTCTTTTTTCCTCCAGTGAAGAAAATTCCAGGTAAACTCTTTACTTTGGGATGGTTGGTGAAGGGAGCCAGGTGCAGGGAATGGAATAAAGGAAGATTGATTGCGTAATATTGGAACATGTTTTAAATAAGGAAAGTGACCCTTACTGACCGAGGAAGGGATTTTGAGATAACAGATAAATAGTTCTGGTCTCCAGAAATCGTCAAAAAGCCACCTTTTCTTCCCTTACTGCAGGTGTCTCGGCTCCTTTCTTTGTGTGTCTGGTCAGCAGCAGCTGAAGTCTTCTAACTCATTTCTGCCAGTAAAGGCCAGGTGGTTTCTCCCAGCTTCTCTCTCCAACAGACAAGTGCTTACTGACAGGCAGGGTAGGAAAGTGATAAATAACAGGCCTGTGAGCTCAAGGATGCCTTTACCTTCCCACACCCAGCCTACCTAGATGGAAAACTTCCAACCACTGTTTCCAGTTTTAGGGATGCAGGTCAACCTTGACACAGTTTTTGATCCTTCAGGATTTAATGGAACCCGCAAAGGTAATCCATCATACCTCTTTATCAAATCGTTATTGATTTTAATGGTTCATTGAGTGACAGCCAGAGTTAACTAGTGAACTGTGAACGTGAATGGAAAAGTGATTTCTGGAATCACAAGTAGAAACATGAGTGAGAGGAAGGAATTTGCATCCATCTCCTTTCAGAATTTTGGCTGTTTTCTGAGCAGTCTGGTCTTGTTTTAAGGGTTACAGTTTCTTGGTGAATTTTTCCGTGTTAGGAAACCTTTAAAGTCTCCTGGGATAACCTTCCAAAGAGGGGCCTTTGAGGGTTCCGATGTTAGCAGTGGATATTTCCTGCAGGTTTCTCACTCTGGGCCCTGAAGTACTCTTCCAAGCCTCACAGTTAGGCATTGGTTGGGGATTAGGATATCACCCGGGGAAGAGGGACAGCAGGTGAGCTGGCAGCTGGAGCAGATGGAAAGGGGAAGGTGACAGGGGAGCCCATTTTCATACAGTTGTTCTTTGCTCCTTTGTGAGCAGAGTAAAGCAACAGAAATGATTCGCTGTAGGGTTTGTTTTATACTTAATTTAGAGAGTGTACGGGTACACTTAGAGGCTTGCTTTGTGACTGCCAAGGAAGGTCCCCCCTTTTCCACTGGGGATACGTTCCAGGACCCCCAGTGGATGCCTGAAACCATGGATAGTACCGAACCTTATCAATACTATGTTTTTTCCTATACAAAATATCTATGATAAAGTTTAATTTATAAATTAGACATAAGAGATTAACAACAATAACTAATAATAAAATAGAACAATTATAATAATATACTGTAATAAAAGTTATGTGAATGTGGTCTCTCTTTCTCTCTCAAAATATCTAATTATACTACACTCACCCTTCATCTTGTGATGATGGGAGATGATATAACGCCTACGTGATGAGGTGAAGTAAGCATTGTGACATAACATTAGACCGCTGTTGACCTTCTGACGATATGTCAGAAGCAGTATCATGGAGCCGTGACAATGTCGATGGGTGGATGTCAGGAGCAGACAATGTCAGTGGTTGGGGATCCAGCAAAGGGATGCTTCACATCCTGGCAGGACAGAGCAGAATGGGGCAATATTTCATCATATTACTCATAATAGTGTGCAATTTAAAACTTGCAATTGTTTATTTCTGGAATTTTCCATTTAATATTTTTGGACTGCAGTTGACTGCAGGTAACTGAAACTGCAGAAGGTGAAACCATGGATAAGGAGGGACTACGTACTGAGCCTCTACTATCTGCTGGGCACAGTACTAAGCATCAGGGATGCAAAGAATAATGAATGCCATGGTCTCTGACCATAGGGAGGAGGCAGTCTAGAGAAAAAGACACATGAATAGCAAGCTGTCCGTAACAGGGCTGTGTGATAAGTGCTGTCGTGAGATTTGCAAAGGTACACCCAGGAGCATCTGGGTGAGCATGGGAGGGCAAGGATGTGCATCCCAGAGGATGCGGAGTTTTTTTCTTTATTTTTACATGAAAGAGAGGGGGAGAGAGAGAAACATGCTCTTGGTTAAAAGTTCGCACTATACAGAAAGGTACAGAGTAAAACTGACTCACATTTTTTCACCTTTTCTTCCTGCCTTCATCCTAAGTGGTAATAGCCATAAAATCAGAGGCTTGATGTATAATTATACTTTTTTGCTTAATACATTAAAAGAAAGAACCTTTACAATTTAAAATGTCTTATCCACTTACCCCCTCCACGTCTCACGTATCACCAGTGATTCACGGGTCCCACTCAGGGGAGCACTGCCATTTTGCCTCTGAGTTTAGTCATGGGCAGATGACCCCTGACTCAGCAGATGAACCACTGCAGCAGCAGACTGCCAAGGCAAACGAAGGTCCCGGTGAATGGCCATGGGGTAGAGTGTTAAGAGTCCAAAGGCCTGGGATCCAGGCCTGGCACCACCACTTACTGGCTTGCAACAGTCAGCAATTTATTTGACACTCCCTTCCCCAAAATCATCTTCTCATCTGTAGTAAGAAAGTAATAATGTCTTCTCTATTGTGCTGTACAGTTACTGTGAGAGTTAGTTGAGAGAATATGTGCTAAAGTGCTCTCAAAACTCTTACATTGCTACACATATATAAAGAATTAATACTATGGGGCTGGCCCCGTGGCTTAGTGGTTAAGTGCGGGTGCTCCGCTACTGGCGGCCCGGGTTCGGATCCCGGGCACGCACCATCGCACCGCTTCTCCGGCCATGCTGAGGCCGCGTCCCACATACAGCAACTAGAAGGATGTGCAGCTATGACATACGACTATCTACTGGGGCTTTGCGGGGGGGGAGAAAAAAAGGAGGAGGATTGGCAATAGATGTTAGCTCAGAGCCGGTCTTCCTAGCAAAAAGAGGAGGATTAGCATGGATGTCAGCTCAGGGCTGATCTTCCTCACAAAAAAAAATAAAAAAGAATTAATACTATGAAGTTTTGTTCTGCTTCTCTCCTTCTGCTCTGTACCATAAAGGATCGAGCATGTTACCATAACGGTTAGGAGCACACACTGTATTGTCAAACTATATATGTTTGGGTACTGGCTCTACCACTCACTCACTGTTTGACCTTGAGCAACAAATCTCTCCAGATCTCAGTGCCCTCATCCATAAGATGGGGATGATGATAGTAATAGTCCATAGGGTTGTTTTGAAAATTTGATGAATTGTCCCGGGAAATAAAGTGTCTCACTGGGCAGACAAGGGATGAAAGACGTCAAATCAAAAATGCAGCACAGCAATTGTATTTTGACTGTTAGAGCACATGGGATCTAATTTCCATAACCTCAGCTTGCGTTTGGAACTGCTAGTATGTGTGTATGCAAGGTGGGGATGGCAGCCTCTCCCTCTGAGTGCTCAGAAATCCCAATCTTTCCACAAAGACTCCACACAGAGCGGAGGAGGAGGCTGATGAAGATACGGCTCAGACAAAGATGCTCTGCATGCTGGGCTTGCGGCTGAGGCAGGGGTTGAGCCTGCCATTGGTATTGCTCCTGGTGTGATGGAATGCACCCTGGGATGGGCCGGGGCGGGGCTGGATGTCCGTGGAGGTGGCAAGTAGCAGGTGTGTGTTCTCATACCAAGAACCGAGGCTTAGTGAGTCCACCCACTCTTTCTCCTCTTCCTCGGTGGAGCTGAAAGAGGTGGATGAAAGGTTCTAAGAGGCAGTTTCTTAGGCTGGCCTACATGCAGCTCCCAGGAAAGCAGGATGCTAATCCACCATGAAATCAGCAGCTGTCCACATGCTCCGGGCTTTAAAGAAATAAAAAATGGACCTGGCAAAATCTCGGTCAGAAACCAAAAGCCCTCTTAAAAAGGGAACTGTACAGCTGAGCATCTGTCATTTGTTTTCTTCAGGAGTCTGATCGCTCTTTCTCCTCCTCCTCCCTTACAGAAAATGAAGGAATACCTGGAGGGCAGGAACCTCATCACCAAGCTACAAGCCAAGCACGACCTTCTCCAGAAAACCCTGGGAGAAAGTGAGTGTAAACACTCCGCTGGAGGTTTGGCAGTGAGGGGAAGGCCTGAGGGGAAGGCCGAGCCCTGAGCTGCGTTGCTGAGCCTCCATCCTAAGCCACATGGGCCCGATCTTGTTATATGAATACGTTTCTTTGCCTACCCTGTTTGATGTGGAAGCACAGGCCCCAAATGACTGCTTGAGTAATGGGGAAAGGCCAATGCTTAATGAAGCACTAATGTGCATCATCTATTTGTTTAAATAGCCTGCTCTCCACCCAATCCCCCTCCGCCTGCTCTGCCACGACTGGAGTAAAGGGGCTGATGGCGTTATTTACTCTCCAGACACTTGGTTAAAACTCTCAGCTCCTTTGTGGCAGGACTGATGCTGGAGCCAGAAGGTAGGGAGCTGTGAGATGAGATGCTCAACTGCTCTGAGGAGAGGAGAGGATTTTCAAAGGCAGGGGTGATGGGCAGACTGCTGCTCTCTGTACCATCAAGGTAGACTATCGGTTTCCTTCTGCTTTGAAGGGTCCTGATGCTAAGTGGCAGCCCTCTCTCTGCCTTGGCCATGCTGAGGCCATGGTGCTGAATGGACTGTCTCGTCTCGTCAGATGATTTTAACCAGACCCTGGAAAGTAGCAAGGCAGAGAACTGGACTGGCACTCTGGACTTTCTCTCCTTAGCTGTCAAACAGAAGGCCAAGGTTGAAAGAGAAGCTTTCCTGGGGTTCTTGGCACCTTGCCCAGGTCTCCTGCCTAGCTCTCAGCATCCTGTGATTGATGGGATTCCCAGGTTGGGAATGCCTCTGAATACCCCACCCCTCCTGCCTCCCCCGCTAATCTCCTCACCTAAACATGGGAAGGGGGAGGCTACAGGGAGAATGTGGTAACACCACAGAGAGGCAAACCTGCAATTACGCAGAGGTCTAACAGTTGAAAATCAATTCCTGAGCACTCTTCAGACAGACTGCAGAGATGGCCCCAGAAATCGGAGCCCACTTTTCATACCAGAGCCTCCTACCCACCCTTCTTGCCCTGTCCTTCTCCTCTGGTGGACGATTCCCCCAGATGATTAATTCTTTTATCTCTAATGTCTTTGATCTTGTGATTTTTAAGGTATTTTCTTTTATGTGAAGAAAGCCTGTTAGGTAGCTTTTGTTCTTTTTTCCTCCCCACCACCCAAAGGACTCAGGCTGAACAGGTTTGGGCATTGAGATCCAAACTTTGCATATAGAAAATCTTTACTCTTGGGTTATCAGATTGCTTCATGGGGAATCAGAGGAAAGAAAGCCCAGAACTATTTGAAGCAAGTTATACCTGTGATTTCTTTTTGCCCAGATAATCAAAGCGTAGCCCATAAGTGAGGTGGGGAGCAGGGCCTCAGGGTGTGAGCGTGTGTGTGTGTGTGTGTGTGTGTGTGTGAGAGTGTGTGAGTGAAAGGGTTTGCGCACACATATACATGCACCGGATGTGCTACTATGGAAAGGCAAAGGTTGGTGACTGTTCATTAGTGCTGCAAATTGCCTTCATCTGAAGATGACAAGTTCTAGCAATAAGGAAAAAAATAGCTGCAGATCTTCCTATGCAAGTCATCATGTCCCCTGCCTTCTATATGTATTTGTCACCATAACACAAGAGGCCTTGTTCTTGCCACGGAGGGATAATTGATGTGTATGAATATTCCAGAGTGGAAATGGGACAGGTGTTGAAAATATTGGCTCAGAATAATATTTTTGCAGATGAAAGCTGAGCCTTTAGTGATGAAAGGCTCTGAGGGGTCGGGGAGGGTGTTGCTCAACTGTAGTCTACAATTAGCAACCTTTAGAGGCAAGACAAAGCCCCGCCCTTCCCGCCCTTGGCGTTGCCTCTCCAGGAGCGAGATGAAGAGTGCAAGAGTGCTCTCTCCTGCCCAGCTCGGCACCTGCTTGCGTTCTCCTGGTTTACTCGATAGGCCTAATACAAACCAAGCTTGCTTCACCTTGGACCCAAAGAAAGCAACAGATTACGTGCTGGCCTGTGCACACATGCATATGTATTTTTTAAAAACATAAGAATACTTCTTATGAACTCTAACATTTTCTTCTTTTTTTCTTTTACATACATTTTATTTTTTTATTTATCTTTTTATTGAGGTAACGTTGGTTTATACAACATTATATAAATTTCAAGTGTACATCATTATATTTTTATTTCTGCATAGACTACATCATGTTACTTTAAGATTTTCAATTCCATTTTTTAAAGCTGGCTGTGACCCATTAAACTTAATATTAGGGCCCACTATTGGATTGAGAACCACGGTTTGATACCAATATCAACATTAAATCTCATTTTTCCCTTGCCACCCCAGCCCAACCTAGTAGAAGTTAGTGTGAATCTAAAACTAGGACTCCCATATCTTCTCCCTCCTTTCCCCAAACAACTCCTACCTTCTTCCCCTGCCACCCTCAACCATGTGTGTGTATGTGTGTGTGTGTGTGTGTGTGTGTGTGTGTGTGTGTGTTCATATACTCAGGAGCAAGCAAGCTTGTCCCTCTCTCCCCACCACACATACACACCCAACATACACCGAAGAGATGCTGAATTTCATCTCCAGAAGGCTTCTAACAATTTGTTCTCTAAAATATGATCTGCCTTGCCATGGTTCCCCTGCATCCACCCCTGTTTTCCCATTGGGAAGCAGAGCTGGTGCACCTAACGTTCAGGGACACTGGCAGCCCTGGACTGGGAACTAGCATCAAAACAGCACTTGCCCAGAAAGAGGCTCTGGGTGCTTCTCTTCTTTTCTGCCTGGAAGGCCATTCACGCTGTGATATTAGTGGCTCTCTAGGGAGACAGGCAGACGTGGTAATTCCTAGGAGCAGGTCTCCCTCTTTCACCCCTTCTGCTTCAACATGTGCTTTTTGCCTTTGTTTTTCCAACAGGTCAGCGGACAGATTGCAGTCTGGCCAGGTAGGTGTGGCCTGGGACAGCCCTGGAAAGGGATGAAGAGAGGCTAGTGGGGTAGAGCCATCCCAGCCTGGGAAAGAGCCAAGGAGTTGAGCTGAAAGGGCATTCGATGACTTTGCGAAGGAGTGGCCTAGAGAAGGGGTTGCTGCCTTCTCTTTGCCTTGCTGACCCCATCTAGCCTCAAGTGGAAATGGGGTTTGCTGTGATTTAGGGAAAGGGCTGAACAGAACTGAGTGAAGGGGGTTATCATTTGCTAAAATAGTCCCAGAGACTCGCAAAAGCTACTACATTGCAAGGAAAAGAAATTCAGGGGCCGTCCTGGTGGTCTAGCGGTTGGGTTCACATGTTCCACTGCGGTGGCCTAGGGTTCATGGGTTCCGATCCTGGGCACGGACTACTCACCGCTTAGCAAGCCATGCTGAGGCGATGTCCCACATAGAAGAACTAGAAGGCCCTACAACTAGGATATACAACCATGTCCTGGGGCTTTGGGGAGAAAAAAGAAAAAGAGGAAGGTTGGCAACAGATGTTACCTCAGGGCCTTCTTTTCAAAAAGAAGAAAAGAAGCACAGAAGTCATGTGACTTGATTTAAAAAAAAAAAAGAAATGTTCAACTCTGTTGGATCCTGGTAACCTAACCTTAGCTGCTAGACTTCAGCACGTGGACTTTGAGAAGTCTCTGACCCAGAGAAGGAGGATCAGGAGATAGCATTTGACCTGAGATTTTTTTTATGCGTGGAAAAGATGACAGCCCCTAATTAGTGACTGTTGCTGGATAATGAAATAATACATTGCATTGGCTTGCCAAACAGCGTTGGTGGAAATCCTTGCCTGATGCATAAGTATGCAACCCTCCCAATCTTTCCCTGCCTTCCCCTCCCTCCACCACCCCAGGCAAATATTTTCCCTCCCGGTCATGGAGCTGCTATGAGAAAACTCGTGAGCTGGCGGAGAGCAAGGCATTCATTCAGCCAACAGTCCTCGGATGCCTAAAAATGTGCTGATTTAACTAGAGAAAGAGCTTTTTAATGGGCCGGACTCCTTAGAGACCCTGGGTTAGCCCATTATATCAACCACTTATATCTGCCAACACACACAATAATCATGAGGCCATTTACAATTATAGGCTCGTTGTTTAGAAATAGCTTCATTTGGCTTTCATCATTTTGTCATTGTGGATTACAATAAAGATCCCATTAATATACCAGTATTCTTGACTGGAGGAACCAGGATAATGGAATTCTGTGGAATATATCTTCTTGGTGATAGTCTTAGTATAAGTTCACCTGCAGTGCTGTATCTGCAGAAGGCTCTATGGGAATGAAGAGAGCTAAGTTGAATTCCCTTATGCTGTGTTATTTCATTGTGACCTTGGGCCTCTCTTTTCCCCTCTCCAAACTCCACTTTCCTCATCTATAAGACAAGAAAGAGCATTGCACTAAATCCAAGGAGCTCTAGGATTCCAAAAATGTTCCTCAGGAGTGGCCTGGTAGAAGAGACAGAGGGAACCCCGTAGCCAGGCTCTGGTCCCTGCCTTCACTCAGACGGGGCAGCAGTGCCCTCCTTGCTTGGGGGATTGTGCCTCTGAGTCAGATTCCCTTGGAGAAAATGCTTCTGAGGCTCAACACAGGTTGAAAAGCCTTGACCTAGAAGATCGCCAAAGTTCCTTCCAATCTGGACATTCAACCTCTAAATTCCAGGAAAATTGTTCTCTTTCTTTTCCCTAAGGATTTCCAAGTGAGAAAACTGTAGCTTCCTTTGGTGTTTACTAGTGTCTCCTTGCAAAGAGAAACATCTTCTTATTGTCAACCCAAATATATTTTACTGCAAATTGAACCAATTCCCTCCTATTCTAATTTTGAATGGTGACAGACATTAAAAACAGAGACCTCTGTGCTTTTGTGAAAAGGGCTTTATTGGGCTTTATTTGGAAAGTAACTTAATAAGTCTCTTAGGCATTTCTGGGACTGAGCTGAATAACTTGACTTTTTTCATTAACAACCATCAGATTGTTTTTAATCCCATTTTCTCCTTTTCCTTCCTGTTGCTGGATCGGTCCTCTCTGATTCGGTGGGGTCAACCACAGGCGTAGCTCAACCGTGAGGAAGCAGGTAAGGGCCCAGCAAGAGCCAGGCTGGTCTGGTGTGAAATTATACATCCCACAAACATTTGTGGAACTCCTCTGTGGGCAAGACAGACACCTTTCTGACTTCATGCCTGTGTTTGGAATGTACCGTTTGGTCACAGAAAGTTTCATATTGTGTCAACTTCATTGATTTAGCTTCTTTAGCTCAAGTTGCCATGGTCTCTCGGACTTGTTCCTCTCCTCTCTAGTCATTTACCCTCTTACATACTAGAGATTTGGTTTGACCGTGGCAGATTGTGCCAGAACTGCCTTTGGCGTCACTTCTCTAGGAGACACGAAAGAGGCCTCACACTTTGTGTGTATCTACCAGCATGTCAGTAACTCGCAGCGGTTACTGGACCAGGCACTCTTGCTTTAAGTTTTCAGATTTTTATTTGTTTCTTTCTAGTGGTGTAGTCATCCCAGATGCATTTCTAAGACATGCTAAAAATGCAAAGATCAGTGTTGTCTAGGAATGATAGGCAAGAGAAGTTGAACTTTGCAATTTTCTGCATGATCTTCAGTGTTGTATTGCAACCTGACACTGGGCAGCCAGCTATCATTACCCATATTAGGAGGGGTCTTAGAGAGCAGTGGCATGGATGATCCTTGTCAATGGATAATCTAAATAGCAGTTGTGCTTGTTTAAAAAACATTAATTGAAATATTTTTTGCAGTAGCAAATTTGACTTTCTAATTACACTTTATGGCAAATACTGCAATGATTTTGTATCCCCTAAGCTCATACCAGCTGTGCAGTAGGCAGTTAGCGGGGAGGAGGTGGAGAGATCTCAGAAATGTCTTGTGTCTGTCTACTCAGAGGAAAGCTGATTCAGGCTTTAAAAAGTCATTTTGAGTAATTCACAGTGGCTGTAGCCACAGGGAGGTAATCGAATGTACGGGGCACATGGTTTCTGTGGTATCAGCAGCCCTAGTAGGGTCTTCAGCCGATCTGACTGCTCCAGCTGGCTGGGCAGTCCGGCTGGGGAACTCGGATGACAGCCTTCACTTGTCTAGCTTTGCTGTTACTATTTTTTTTCCCCTTCCTACTTTGGATCTCATTTTAATGAGAACACCGTCAGATGCAATTACACGTTTTTTAAATTATAAAAATTTCATTGCAGCTCTCCTTCCTCTTATCTCTCTATTTCTTCTTCCCCTTTCTCCCATAATTTCTTTTAAAACTAGAGAGGAATGGAGTGCCTCCCAGGGATAACTTATTGCATTGAAAATTAATAGGTGGAGGGCCGGCGCCATGGCTTGGCGGTTAAGTGCGCGCATTCCGCTGCTGGCGGCCCGGGTTCGGATCCCAGGTGCGCACCAACGCACCACTTCTCCGGCCACGCTGAGACCACGTCCCACATACAGCAACTAGAAGGATGTGCAGCTGTGACATATGACTATCTACTGGGGCTTTGGGGGAAAAAAAATAAATAAATAAAATTTAAAAAAGAGAAAAAAAAAGAAAATTAATAGGTGGATATGTTAAAGAGAGAACAAATCTGTTTTCCCTTCAACACTAAGAGCAAGATTGTACTTGAAGTTTGTTCCTTTCAGTTCCTGGACTGAAACTGGGCCTCCTGCTTACAGAAGGAGCATATGTCCTATGTCCGAGGGTTTCACAGCCTCCACTCTGGCTGCAGCAGTGCCAGAGACCACAGTTTGGCAGGTGGTATGCGCCCCTGGTTGGGCTCACCATTGGAGGAGAGGGGCACCCATCTGGTTTGCTTCCTGCTGCGCCTAAGCAGTTTCAGGCAAAGCATATTTGCTTGGTGCTAAATTTGCGTAAGAGTTCCAGGCTACACCAAAAACCCCAATGAAATAAAGCCCTTGCTCTTCTGCTGCTGCCCCAGTTTCTCTCCAGCAGCTCCAGTCTAATGGTGGGTCAGTAAAGAGTTTTCCTAAGATGGTCAAGAGGGTAAATAGTATGTAATTTGGAAGATGAGTAATCTTGTATATGTAACCTGGAGATAAATAGTCGTTTATTTGTTTGTTCGTTTATAGCAAATCAGCCAAACAAGAGGAAAAATCTGATAGCTTTTGTTTTTGAGAGTCCCTAATGGGTTCTGGTCATTTTTGACCGTAGCAAAGATTAGGTTCAAACCCTTCCAGACTTTTCTTCAAAAGGAGACGCCTCAACTGCTGCTTCCAAGCTTTCCCTGCTCCCTTCAAGCCCAGCATTTTCTCTTTCCTATTACTTGCATATCTTCTCTGCCGGCCCTGCTTTCTCCATTCCTCTAAATTTACACATTTCCCCAAGGCTTGGTCCTCTTTGACTTCTCTCCATATTCTCTCCCTTGTCACCTCTGTTTCCTTAGATGAATCTTTCTCTCCATCCCTAAGTGTCCATTTGTTCTGTAATGCTGTCATTCTGAGTCTTTGGCTCTAACTCCTAAGTGATTGGGTGGACATTGATGCTTGCAAGTTGAGACAGCACCTCCCACCCTCAGCATCAATCTCCTCACCTTCCCCACCACACCTTAACTGCCTTAGCACCTCCTCTGACTTCTCTATTTCTCTTAATGGGGACCATCCATTCCTCACAATCCCTGAAGCCCCAAATCTTAGCTTTGAGACCTCTTTTTTTTTTTCTCATTATCTACATGTAATCAATTGTCAAGACTTGTATTTTCTCCCTTGGTGAAAACAGAAACCTAACAAATGTAACAGAGATCAGTACCTGGACGTGCTGAACTTGGCATCTGTGTGGCATTCCAAGTGGATGGTTGTGTGTGTGCTCTGGAGCTTGGAGGGCAGGCCTGATGCTTCTCTGTGGACTGACCGCTGATAGTCCCACACAGTTTGGCCCATTTTGTCTGACCCAGGCCTATTTCTGTTTAAAGATTCTAATATTGTGTTTCTATTCGGCTTTTCAGGATTCCAGCCAGGCAATTCCTCTGGTGGTAGAAAGCTGTATCCGGTTTATCAGCAGACACGGTAAGCAGGATTAGAGCCTTGCCCATATTTGTGCAAAGCTGGGAAGCACTTCCAGGAATTCTTTGTAGAGTAAGAATAGAGATTGACTTCCCGTCCTGACATTCTCAGAAAAGGAATAAAATCTTATTTGTTCACATAATGTTTCCTACTTCAGAATGGCCACACCTAGACATTGAGAGAAAGACATCATATGTTTTGACCCAAAATGCCTCAGCCACTTACCACACTCCCTGTTCCAGCTTGAGAGTGAGTTTTAAATTACAGCTGTTATGTGAGTAAGTCCAGCTGGTGTGATTCGGTGACGGTAGTTTCACCATTACTCACCGTCTTTGCACGTGTCGGTATCTCCACTGCACAGCCTGGACCGTTATGTCACATTGGCTTTCTGCATCAGACTGCTCTGAAAACAACTCCTTTTGAAATTTTGCGTTGATTCCTAATAATATTCAGTTTTTGTTCCGGTTTGGTCTCACCCGATACAGCATCACCAAGAGCTCAGTTAGTGGCTGGTCTAATGTTGTAGCCAACGTTTGAGATACTGCGGGGGCTGGCTCCTTCCCAGCCTAAGTCAGATCATGCTAGCTTCTGCTTGGATGCAGCTGAATCTCATAAACTCCATTCCTCACCAGCTCCTAGGCTGCTTGGACAGAGTTTAGGGATAGAGTTGAATTGCCAGAGAATCGATCTTCCAAGTGTAAGAGTGTTTAGAAAGCGCACATATCTGAGCTAACACCATAAAGATTTACTTCTAGGAACTGGGCGTCAGAAATTGTTTTTAGGTGCTGTCCTGTCTAGTTATAGGAAGAGGGACAGAATGACCTTCTTGGAGCTGAGGAGGTATGTAGATGATTGCTGGTCTTAACTCAGAGGCAGCCATTCTCTCTCCCTTCCTCACCTTCCTCTCCCCTGGTAAACTGGGACATTGCTTGGGTTCATTTTTGAAATAGTAATTATTTTAGCATGGTTACGACTTATTCTCATCAGCTACAGTTTTTTCATCTTATCTCTATTCATTTGAAGTAACAGCACTGTATATCATTATTGAACAGTCAACAGAAATTTATCAAGCCTCTGATCAGTGCTGGGCCCCATGCATTGCCAAACAGGAAAACAAAAACAGGGTAATACACTGTTCCTGTCTTTACCTGGTTTTATGATACAGTTGGGAGAAAATAAATAAGCAACTGAAAGTTAAATAAAAAGAGATAAGCTGTAGTAATTCAGAATAGCAGTGTATGAAATTTCACAAGATAGTAATGATTAATGGTCAAGCAGTTGGCAAAGATAAGTCCAAACTGAGTTCGGGGAGGAAGCGTTATTTGTGTCTAAAGGACAATAGGAAGAAGAGAGTCTGAACTCCTGTTCTTTCATCCGTGCATTCCATTCATTCATTCATTCAACAAATATATTTATATTGATTGCTCATTGTGTGCCAAGAAAAAGTTCCTATCTTCACGAACCTTATATTCTACTAAAAGGCAGATAAAACAGACGATCAGTGGATCAGTCGATAAATAAACAAGTTAATGTATATTATGTCAAGTGTCGGTGAGTGTCATGAAGAAAATTAAGCAAGGTGAGCAGATGGAGAATGGAGAGGGGACACTGTTCTAGGTGGGTTGTTCAGGGAAAAGGCCTTAGGTCGCCTAAGAAGGTGACATTTGAGCAGAGTCCTAAAGGACACGAGGGAGTGAGCCACATAGGTCTCTGGGGAGGAGTGTTTTTGGAAGAGGGAACATCAAGTGCAGAGAACCTTGGCATATGCAAGAACTAGCACACAGGGGGCCATTGTGGCCGGAGCAGAGTGAGTGAAGAGGAGAGTGGTGGGAGATGAAGCCAGAAGCCAGACTTTTAGGGCCTCGTCAGCTAAGATAGGAGTTTGGATTTTATTCTGAGTGGGTTGGGAAGCTGTTGGAGAATTTTCAAGAGGAAGTCATCTTGTTAAAGGATCCCAGGCTGCTGTATGGAGCTAAGACTACAGGAGGAAACAAGAGGCTACTGCAGTAGCCCAGGGAAGACACGACAGTGGCCTGAACCAGGGTGTTAGCTGTGGAGGAGCTGAGAAGTGCATTGGGTTCCGGATGTTGTGGCTTGAATGTCCCTGTCCCTGCCCCTGTACAGGCACAGTGCATGAGGAGACAAAAACTGAGCGCATTTCTGTGGTGAGGCTCTGGGGAAATAGGTATGCTCACATATTGCTGATGGTAATGCCAACCAGTACGATCCTTTTGGAGGAGAATTAGGCAATATCTAACAAAACTATGTATGTGCTTATCTTCTGATCCAGCAATCCTTCTAGGAATTTATCCTGAAGATACACCACCAACAGTGTAAAAATACATATGTACAAGGTTATTTTTTGCAGCCCCCACTTGTAACTGCAAAGTATTAGAAACAACCTAAATGCCCATACATTGAAGAACGGATGAATAAACTATGTATATCCACACAATGGAATACTATGCAGCTACCAAAAAAGAATGAGGAGGATCTCCATGAAATGACATGGAGAGATTTCCAAGATATATTGCCAAGTGAAAAAAAGCAAAATGCAAAAGAGTATCTGGAGCATGCTACCTTTCATGTAAGAAAGAAAAAGATATAAAAATATACATGTGTGTGCTCACTTCTGCAAGAAGAAATGCAGGACGGGTGAATCCAGAAACCAGTATTTGGTTGGTTATCTACAGGGGATGGGTGGAAAAGGGTGAAGAGAATGGGGGAATGGGAAATGGGAGGGAAGTGACATTCTCAGAATATTCCTTTTCGTGTAATTTTGACTTTTAGAACTACATTCGTGTTTCTCATACTCAAAAGATAAATGAACAAATAAATCAAACAAGGATATGACTAAAACCCAAAGTGGAATACAAACAGTAACAAATAAACCTAACTGTATTACAAATGAATAACGTAACCACCCTGAAGTGCCCAGGAAGAAAATAACTAATCTGAGGAAAATAGTATTTTGATTATATACTGTAAGTCTAAAGACAAAAAGAACTGTAAACAAATATTGTACAGTAGTTGGTAATTTGTTTATCACAGGGATGTGGGGTAGCAATTCTGAAGCCATTTTATATGTATTCTAGGATTGAACAAATAAACATATTGTTGATTTAAAGGAAAAAAACAATACATAGGAGCCATTCAAAAAACATTTGTTCAGCTAAATTGAACTTTTTTCCCACGTAGGCACTCAAGGCCTTCCTGAACTCCCTAAAAGTTATGGTCGAAATTTTTGTCTACATGCATGTAATGCAGATAGGGCCATCACTTTTGTCAGTCCCAGAAGGGTCTGTGGCCCACCGACTGCTGGAATTTGCACATCTTTACTTTCTTTGTGTCCCCTGGGAGGTAGATATTATAGTCCCCATTATAGAGATAAAAGCTGGGGCTCGTCTGTAAGTGTGGATCAGGGTGATCCAGGAAGGCTTAAAGGAGGAGAAGGGACGTGAGGAACAACTGAGACTGAATCAGGATGGAAAAACCCCACCATTTTCATGAGAATGAGAGCAAAGTAATGTGAGCAGGAGGTGGTGGTGTAGCAATCATTTCAAGAATTCTCTAGGAGAACGACTCTTGGCAACAGCTGGATCCTGCACAAAATGGAAGGTTTTGTGCCATTTCCAAATGACTTACCCAAGTCTGAGTGGTTTTATACTTTTATGTTAGTGTGCACTAAGAAAAAGTAAAAAAGGTCATGAATGTGTCAGGTTGGTGATGTGAGGCCTTCACTGCATTGTAATAGAAAGCTAACTGCTGTTCCCCTTTACTTTCTGGAAACTGACCATTTTCTACTTTCAGAATCATCGGATTACACAGTCTAAAGATTCTGTCTGTTGAGCAAGAACACATAGTGGTCCCTCTAAAGCATAGGTTCTCAAGGAGAAATGGAAACCAGACCAAAACGGGCCTCCGTGTGTCTCAGGCCTGCTGCCTGACTTCCAATAAGCCTCCTCTGATTTCTTCTGGTCTTGGGCACATGGGCCAAGGCAGCTTTTCCTTGATGATCTAATCTCCCAAAAAGTACTGAAAAGATCCTCTCTCAGCAAGTTGTTGGCTTCACCAACAATGAGTAGAACATACTGCATAGCCTGGTCCCTGACATGACATTTTCTTATACTATAATATAATAACTGTGTTTTTGACAGGTCACTAGGTATGTGACTGTTTCTATCAGAACCCTTACTGTTTACATCTGTGTTAAAATGACATTATCTGGCTGTTACATCCCATTGGTAACTAATATGTTACTATTACATTGGTACTCATGGGGTTTTAACATTGCCTACCATTCTGTGAGGAATATTCTGGAGATTCCCTTAGAGGAGCAGACAATGTAAGTCCTGTTACAAGCCAGGTAATTAAATTCCCCCTGCTTACTTCTTAATATTGGATACTTCAGTTGGATTCAGGATTTCAGTCCTGGCCTGTGTGGTTTACCTTCAAAAGTGTAGCTGATAGAATCCAGTCACCCTCATTGAGGGTATAATGCAAAGTGAAATAAGTCAGAGGGAGAAGGTCAAATACCGTATGATTTCCTTCATTAAGTAGTAGATAATAACAACAATAAACAAACACATAGGGACAGAGATTGGATTGGTGGTTACCAGAGGGGAAGGGAGGAGAGAGGAGGGTGAAAGGGATAATTTGGTACATGTGTGTGGTGATGGGTTGTAATTAGTATTTGGGTGGTGAACATGATGTAATCTATGCAGAAATAGAAGTACAATGATGTACACCTGAAATTTTTACAATGTTATAAACCAATGTTACTGCAATAAACAAAAAATTAAAAAAAAAAAAAAAAAAAGAATCCAGTCACCCCCTCACTGAGAGTGTAGCCCTAAAACAGTGGGCAAAACGTAGTATTATTCTTGTTTGTTTTCCTAAAAAGAAATTTGTTTGAGATTTCTCTGACATATCTAAGATTATGCCAGAGGGGCTTTGACAGTATTCCCAAGATTGAGGAGGCTGGGCAGGCTGGATGTGAGTCAAGATGCTGGTTCAGTCCAACCCCCGGGCCCAGCACTAATGACATGCTTCCCCGATCCCTTCCCCGTTTTGCAGTTGGATGTTTGGTGCACTCCGTAAGCCATATCCACGTTCAGACCAACAAATGGGTTCCCGCACTCTCTTGTACTTTCACTCCAGGTGGCCCCACAAGCCTGGTGTTGAGGAATGAGTACACGATTGCACGCAGAAGGCCTGGGTTTGCATCCTGGCTCTGGTTCTTATCACCTGTATAACCTAAGGCTGGCCATCACTCATCAATCCCTTCATCTAGAAAATGGGCGTGCTGGTAACCCTACCTTACATGGCTATTGTGAGGATCAGTTGATTTATTTATATGAAAGCATTTCTTAGCAGCAGTCACCACACATGCATTGTTTTGTTATGATTATTTCTACTCTAACAAAACCAAGAAAACAAAGTTTTCATGCACATTATCATACTGTAACATTCATGCGTGTTTTCCTTTTGAGTTAAGCTGCAGTCAAGGACCAGTGGCCAGCACAGTGTCTGGCAGCAATGTCTGTTGACAGATCACTTGTCTTTTCATGTCCTCTCTTTTCCCTAAGTTTTCAACGTATTGTGCCCTAGAATAGCCAAACAGTGTTAGAACAGCTAAAGCAATAATTATGATCTCAGACCTTGTGAAACTCCTCCAGTGGTATCGAATGGCTTGCGTGCCATGCCCCTGGTTACCATTCCTGACCCTGGGTGATAAAAAGGTACCAAGTGTCACTTTCCCACTTTGCAGATGGGAACAGAGAGGCAAAGGCCGGGGAAGGAACCTGCCTCACAGTCTCCCTCGGAATCAGAAATGGAGCAGGTGTAGACATCTCTTCCCTTAAGTCTCTAACTCAGTGCTTTCTTTAGGCTAATGCCTCATATCCATTCCAATAACTTTTCTGACATCCTTGCACATGCTTTCTCCTCTGGCCTGAAGAAGAGAGACAGGATGCTTAATATACACACAGGCTGGGGGACATAGACATTCAACTAAGCTTGGAGCTGTGGTTGTGAGTTTGCTTTTTCTTCTCCATGATCACTTTTCCCTGTCTTTCCAGGACTACAGCATGAGGGAATTTTCCGGGTGTCAGGATCCCAGGTGGAAGTGAATGACATCAAAAACGCCTTTGAGAGAGGTGAGGAACTTTGAGAGAGGTGAGGAAACAGCCTAGAAGATAAGAGCAAACATTGGCCAGCCCCCTGGGATATCGGCTCCACCCTTTCTCCCCTGAGAGGTGCCCAGAACTTAGCAAGCCAGCTTGCCTCCCTCTTCAGCCTGGCACCTGCTCTCTTGTAGACATGTGCAGAGAGGTGCCAGGGCACATCCCGGCTCCCTCCTTCTCAGCCCCATTCATCCTGCCTCTCTCCTGCGGGTGATCTGCCGAAACCCAAGAAGTTAACTATGATATCTGGGTGCTTTATGGCTTCATCCAGAACCCTTGGTGGCAGTTAGTAGCAAGGCTAATGCGCCTGTTCATCGTAGCCCATTTATTATCTTGTGGGCTGTTAAGGTAATGGGCAAGCTTTGGCAATTTCCGTCACTGTAATGGATATATATAGTTTCAATTTGAGGTTGGTCCTATCATTAAATCTAATTACATCTGATATGAAATTTTCCATGGGGAGCTCCGGCATGATTGTTCTCCTGTAAGTAGGTGTCCTTTGTTGCAGGCCAGGAGGAGTGAGAGCTAGTCAGAGGGACTGGCCTCTCTGGCCTCATTTTCCTCCCCCAGGGGCTCAATCCCAGCCTGGTTTCATGATTCTTGTGAGAGCTGGTTGCTATGTCCCATCTCCAGCCCATAGGGAATGTCCCTGAGCTAGTCTGGCACAAACAAATTTATGCTAATGGACTCTTGTGCCCCTCCTCTGGCCCCGGGACACCTGACCCTGAGCAGTCTTTGCTTTATCTCATGCCTGGTCTGCCCCTCTCGTGGCCACCATGCTGGGTAGAGAGCTGATGCACTACGCTGAGGACTTGAATAGGTCACCCCTTCCCCACCACCTTTGCTTCATCGTATGTGTTTTTGCCTCTCTGACTCTCTCTTGCCTTTTTGGGGGGTTGCTTATCCTCAGGAGAGGACCCCCTGGCTGGGGACCAGAATGACCATGACATGGACTCCATAGCCGGCGTCCTGAAGCTTTACTTCCGGGGGCTGGAACACCCTCTCTTCCCCAAGGACATCTTCCATGACTTGATGGCCTGCGTCAGTAAGTACCATCCTGGCCTCAGACTGGCTTTTGGGACAGAGCACCTTTAGCAACAGAAAAGAAAATTCCACAGGGTCTTTTATTCTCATGAGCTATTTTTTGTTGTTGTTATTGCAGTAACATTGGTTTATAACAGTATATAAATTTCAGGTGTACATCATTATATTTCAATTTCTGTGTAGATTACATCATGTTCACCACCCAAAGACTAATTACAATCCATCACCACACACGTGTGCCTGATCACCCCTTTCGCCCCCCTCCCTTTCCCCTTCCTCTCTGGTAACCACCAGTCCAATCTCTGTCTCTATTTCGCTTAGCATAATACCCTGTGTCCATCCACGTTGTCACAAATGGCAGGATTTCATCATTTCTTACGGCTGAGTAGTATTCCGTTGTGTGTATATATATACCATGTCTTTTTTATCCATTTGTCCCTTAATGGGCGCTTAGGTTGCTTCCAAGTCTTGGCTATTGTGAATAATGCTTAGGATTGCTCCCAGCCGGCCATGAAGCACCATGGCTTGTGAAGATGCCTTTTTTTTCTCTCTGGAAAGGAATTTCTGCCTCTTCCACCTCAGTCAGGACTGTCCCTTGTGGAGGTTCTTTTTATCCAGTTTTCAGTTCTCTCTCAGGGGTAATTGTTTCAAGAGTAGTTGTAAATTTGTTGTGTCCATGGGAGGAAGTGAGTTCAGAGTCCACCTATGCTGCCATCTTGACACCTCCTCTCATGAGCTTTTCAGTATTGTTTTCCATTTTTCCTTTTCCCCAGTGAAGTTCCTCCTCCTCATCCTCACTCCTTCATCCCCTGTTGGGGGAGGAGGAAGAATGACTTTTTAGGACCACAAGTCAGTCATCCTGGCTTTTTTCTTTCTGATTTGCCTTAAACTCCTTTGGTTTACTGGGCTTTATCTTTCTTCAGTAAAATACATTTGTATCCATATGGAAGACTCAGTCCTTTTCAGCTATTGGAAGCTTATACATTAGTGCTTGTGCTTTTCATGATACAAAGGGAACAGCATAGGTGCTGCAAATATTTCCTGCTTGCCGCTTTAAACATGGCATGGCTTCCCTCTAGACGTGCTAATATGTGTTCTAGGAATGAAAGCCCTCTGCACATTTAAAAGGAGCAATAGGATATTTTCCCAGACAAACATATAGTCTCTACTTCATCCTTCTTAGGGGTTCTCTGCCTCTTACTCTAAAATTTGGGTCTTGAAAAGCTATTCTTGGCCATTTAGTTTAGATTATTATGGTGGAACATCCTTCATTTGTTTTCCATGAAAAACAATCCATGGAAACTTGGATTAATACCAGGTCATCCTGGAAGCGGACCCCACTGGAATGATGGCTCCAGAGGCTAGAGAAGGCAGTGCCTTTGAAGTGGAGAAAAGATCCTTCTTCCCAGATCAACCAGAGTCTTCATGCCCCCTGAGTTTCCAGTTTGACTCAGTATATGCCCTGACCACTGTCTCTCTCTGTTATTCTAAAAGAGAAAGACCCCACAACATTCAGAAAGCTCTCATGTTTTATTTGTTGACCTGCTATTTGTGGGAGTCTAGTGGAAATAAGTTCTGTGGTGATTAAATATATGCATCCCTCGTGTCTTCGTGTCTTTTTCCAGGCCTGGGCCTAGGTAGAACATCTTAGTGGACTGGGGCTACCAAGACAGGACAAGATACCTTGGCTTCCCAATTCTTCCCTTGAGATGTGCTCTTTATCTACTGCTTCCCATTTCTTTTTCACATAAATGCACTCGTAGAAAATGACAGTATCTACCTGGGACACCGTTGAAGTGAGGAGGCTGGCCATGATGGAGGCCACCAGTCTAGGGCTGTACCTGTGATTAATCTGTCCTCAGCACAAGAGTGATATCTTCTCCCCTGATATCACTACTTACACAAGGGCCTGCTATTTCTTGCCTTTGGCCACATTCTACTCATCCCCACTGCAGATAAGGGAGGGGAGAAGATAAGCCAGATTTACCCAGAGGGTGAGGTGACACACATGTAGAACAGGCAGGACAGGACCTGCACAGCCTCCCCACATGTAGTCCCTCCAAGGTTGGGTGTCGAGCAGTCATAGCGGGTTTATGGACAGCTCCTTGTCTGTGGTTGTTTTAATAAGAGGGTGGTAGGTGCTGTAGGGAACATCTCCAACCCCATCTGTGCCCAAGAAGCATACACCTGAAGTCCTGCCTCAGGAAGTGTCTGGAGCCCAGCATGTGCCCTATCGCAGCAGCCCCGCCCCAAGGAGCCACAGGGATGGAACTCCTTACACTGCACCACTGCTTGTGGGCTTGACCTGGCCTCTCTCTGTGTTACACCTACCAGTAGGAAGGACCTTCTTACCATTGCTCTCTGGGATCTCAGGCACAGTGGAGGATAACGCATGGCTTTCTTCTTTCAGCAGTGGACAACCTGCAGGAGAGAGCTCTGCATATCCGAAAGGTCCTCCTGGTCCTGCCCAAAACCACTCTGATCATCATGAGATACCTCTTTGCCTTCCTCAATCAGTGAGTAGACTTCCCAGTGAGCAGCCGGGTCGGGCCTTGGCTTTGGGCCCTGGAAGTTTACATAGGGACCTTTTACATACGGACCTGTATTGATACATCCAGCCCAACAAATATTGATTGAATACCTACCATGTTCTGGGCACAGCTGTCGGCTGTAAGAATGCATTGCGAAATAAGAGACGAAAGCCCTGCTATCATTTAGCTCACATTCTAGGGTAGGAGACAGATAACACATATGTCAGGTGGTAATAAGTGCTGAGAAGAAAAATAAAGAAGTGTAGTTAAGAGATAGAGTGCAGGGGTCTGAATGGGGCGGGGATGAAAGGGGGAGAGCCCCTGGAGAGGGGTGGTCCGCAGAGGCCCCTCTGAGGAGACAGTCCCCAAGCAGCAGCCTCAATGAAGTGGAGGAAGGAGACACAGGAATGTTCACGACCATCGAGCCCTGAGAGTCATGGTGATAATGGGTTTGGATTTGGGAAGCCATTGGAAGATTTTAAGCAGAAGAGTGTTGTGATCTGATCTATATATTTTTTTTAAAACCTACCAACTGCTTTGTGGAGAAGTTACTGTAGAAGGCTGTGAAGAGAAGCAGGGAGACCTCCTCAGAGGTTATTTTGTGGTCATGGTCAGGGGTGTTGGTGACTTAGACTGGAGAGGTAATGATGGAGGGTGGTGAGGAGCAGTCAGGTTTGGGATCTATTTTGAACATAGCATTGACAGAATTTGCCGATGGAGAGAATGTAGAGTGTGAGGAAAGAGAGAAATTCTAAATTTTTGACAGGAGCAACAGGGAAGTAGTGATGCCATTTATGGAGTTGGGGGAGACAAGATCTGGAGGAAGGAATCAAGAGAAGGTGCTGATGTAAGCATGTTAATTTGAGGTACCTGTTAGGCTTCCAAGTGGAGATTCTAAGCAGGCAGCTGAACATGGGAATCTGCCACTCAGGAGAAACCTGGAGTGGAGATGTCAGTAGGGAGTCACCGTGTATTGGTGGTATTCGGCTGATCACCCAGGGAGTGAGTGTACCTAGAAGAGAGGTCTGAGGACCAGAGGGGCCTTGGGCTAGGACATGGCATTAGGCATTTCTTCCTGACCAGGCAGTGTGTCCTTGCCCAGGGCAGGCATTGGAGTCCTCCCATGCCAGCAAAGGCAACAAGCAAGGACGTGTGGTACTTCTCCTCTCGGGCCCTCTGTTTCATTCGCTGCAGCATCTCCTTTGACATCCTAGACATCCTAGAGGTTATAAATGGGCAGCCTGAGGGCCAGGTAAGGCCCATCGGTGTGTTTCCTTTCAGCCCCACTGTGTCTTGAAAACATTGAAACATTTAAATGTTGGAGGATATTATTTAAAAACGTCTAGATTTCTAGCTTCTCTTGAAAACATTGTTAGATCTGGCAGTACTAGATCTGCATGCCCACGTGGCAGCAGTTCTCTGTGGAGTGAGGGCTGCTGCCTGGATGAGGCTGCCAGGCACTCCCCAGTTCACCAGAGTCCCAGCCCTCCCGCTACTCCCCTGGGCCAAGGCTAGATTCAGTTGCCATTAATCGTCACTCTTGCTTTATGGTTTTTCATATAGTGGAGAAACGTTTCTCTAGATCCGTGAATCTATCAAAAGAGAGAAAACAAAAATTAGACCAAGGGGATAGGGTGTTTTAGCACATATTTCTTTGTGAAAATTTAGAGTCTTCCTAGTTAGCTTGGTCTCTATGTCAAAGGAATACAAGATTAGATGCCACCTCATAAGCCTCAGCTTGCTTACAAGTTCATAAGCCTGGCCCTGTGGGCGTCTGAGTTAGCGGCCCCTGCCTGACACCTTTCAAGGGCACCCACACCATCCTTCAGCCCTGTTGCTGTCCCTGCAGAGCAACGGAGAGTCGTGGCTCTGCAGCCTGCTGCCTCCACGTGGCTGTGTCTGCACCATTCATTAGCCAAGCCCTGACTCAGCACCACAACTGCCTTTGAGTTCAGAACCCCTCCTGACTCACACAGGGTGTTCACCTGCTGCCTGGCTTAGACTGACAGAAACGGAAACTCTGGTAATGACTCTCGAGTCAGTCAGTCCCCTCAGTGCCGCCAGTCCTTGTTGCTCCTCGTTGACCAATAGACCAATACCTGCCCTCAGAGTTAGCCTGGTCTGCTCCCCCAGAGCAAGGAGGCATGACAGTGGGGGGTAAACAGGTGGGGGAGCAGGGGGGTCCTGGGGTGAGTGTGTGTGTATGAGTACAATGGCCTCATTCTCCTCCCCACATTTTCTTCCTGCTTAAAGAGTGGGGAGCTTGCAGGAGGGGAGAAACGATAAAGTCAGCATCACAGAGAGCTGGAGATAGTGGCCACTGTTGCAGGAAACCTGGGACTTTCACCAATTCAAATGTTTACTTTTGTTTTACTTTTTTTTCTGGTTAAAAAAAGATTAATTTGCTCATGAAAGTATTTCACTGAAACGGTACAGCATTATTAACCACAGTGTTTCCTAAAACAATAAATGGAATGCAGGAGACAGGTGATAGAGAAGACCACCTCCATGGGAGGATGACAACTGGTAAGTGTGCAGTTACCCATAGGTGTAGCAATAGTTGGCAGGTAGTTCCTGATAGAGACTCTGCCTGGGCCCAGACTTTCAAGCCCCTTCTCCTTTATTGTTCTGTGTCCTGGGGTGGGGTTGGGGGAGTTGGGAGAGGTGTACTTTATTTCTGGCTAAAGTCTTTTTCTTGGGTTGTACACATCCTCAATCTCAGGATATATATTTATGTTAGTCCAGCAGGCCTTGTTAATTATTAACTTTATCCTTTCTTAGGATCTCCGTTAATTATCTATTGCTGTGTAACAAAATACACTAAAACTTAGCAACTTAAAACAATAAGCGTTTATTATTATGTCAGTTTCTGTGGGTCAAGAATCCAAGTGCAGCTTAACTGGAGGCCTCTGGCTCCAGGCCTCATGGGGTTGAAGTGAGGGTGTTGGGCGTAGGGCTGCTGTCTCTTCTGAAGGCTTGACTGGGGGAGGGTTCACTTCCAAGCTCTCTTATGTAGTGCTGGCGGGATTCAGTTCCCTGCCGGTTGTTGGACTGAGGATCTCCATTCCTGGCTGACTGTTGGCCACGGGCCTCCCTGTTGTTCACCACGTGGGCCTCACCGTAGAGCTACTCACAGCATGGCGGCTGGCTTCTCTCCAAACAAGTGAGTGAGAGAGCTCCCAAGACGGAAGCCACAGTCTTTTGTAACCTGATCTCAGAAGTGACGTCCCATTACTTCTGCCACGTTCCATTCACTAGAAGTGTGTCACTAAATCTAGCCCACACTCAAAGGGAGAGATTTCCTTTCTCAGGTCAGGGTGTGAATACCAGTAGGCAGAGACCATGGAGTTCATTTTAGAGGCTGCTTACCACAGCATCTGTACTACACTGCAGTAGGCAGCTCCCCCTCACTGCAGCTGACTCTACTGCTTGCCTCTTGAAACCTGATTTCTTCAGATGTCAAACAATATACTCTTCTAGTCTCTTGCTAATCAAGTGAGATCCACAGACCAGCAGCATCAGCATCATTTGGGAGATTGTTAGAAATGCAGAATCTCAGCCCCTCCCAAGGCCTATGAATCAGAATCTGTATTTTCACAAGGTCCCCTCATGAGTCACACGCACGTGAAAGTCCGAGAAGCACTGCTCTAGGTCCTCGCTCTGCGATCTAAAAGAGGAAATCAGTGGTGCTTCTCTTTCATGGTTAAGGCTGCCACAGCTGCTCCCCAGAAAAGCTGAGTCTCCCTCTAAATCTCACCAATCTCAGGTGCCTCCTGGGTTGGAAAGATTCTGTCTGGGATGCTCTTCTGATTTTCACAAGGAGTGTTTTGGCTTCTGTATGCAGATGGGCAAGTAGAATTGTGCCTGGATTGTCTTGAGGACTCAAAGATGCTCATGTATTGATTCACTTATTTGTTTAACATTTATTTATTAAGTACCTACTGTGCCGGGCCCTGTTCAGATGCTGGCTTTCTAAGAGTGCACCCAGCAGCCACGGTCCCTGCCCTCACAGAGCTTGTGTTCCATTGGAGGAAGACAGACAAAGCTAATAAGTACACATGGCATCTGTCAGAGGAAAATAAAGCAGGGAAGGGGGCTAGAGAGTGCCAGGGGTCAGGGTGAGGGTTTGCTCTTTAATATACAGTGGTCGGGGGACACTCATTGAGCAGGTGACAGTAGGAGGAGAACCGAGAGAGAACGGTGTCCCAGAAGCCGTGTGGAGAAAGTTTCAAGGAGGGTGTGGTAACTGAGTTAAATGCGCTGACAGATCAAGTAAGAAAAAGACTGAGAATTGACTTAGCAGCATGGATATCATTGGTCACCCCTGATGGGTGTTGTCATAGTGGAGTGGAAGGGGCAAAATCCTGATGGTATCAGTTCAAGAGAAAAAGGGTGCTGATGATGGATAAACAAAATATGGTAGATCCACGCAATGGGATGGTGTTCAGACATAAAAAGGGATGCGGTACTGACATATGCTACAACATGGATGAACCTTGAAAACATCGTGTTAAGTGAAAGAAGCCAGACACAAACAACCGCATTGTATGATTCCATTATATGAAATGTCCGGAATAGGCAAATTCATGGATACAGGAAGCAGATTTGTGTATCCAGGGACTGGGGAGAGGGGAGAATGGGGAGTGACTGCTAATGGGTATGGGGTTTCTTTTGGGGTGATGAAAATGTTCTGAAACTAGATAGTGGTGATGGTTGTACAACATTGTGAGTATGGTAAATGCTACTGAATTATACACTTTAAAATTATTAAAATGGTAAATTTCGTGTTATGTATATTTTACCACAATAAAGAGGGAGGGGGGAGGTCTGAGTCTGCTAGGGCAGCCATAACAAAATACCACAGATTGCATGGCTTAAACAGAAATTTATTTTCTCACAGTTCTGGAATCTGGAAGTCTAAGATCAAGGTGCCAGCAGGGTTGTTTTCTGGTGAGGTCCCTCTCCTTGGCCTGTGGATGGCCATTGTCTCACTGCGTCCTCACACGGCCTTTCCTCTGTGCAGGCAGGGAGAGAGAGCTCTGGCGTCTTTCCTCTTTATAATATAAAGACAAAGGGCCTATTGGATTAGGGCCTCATATTGACTTCATTTAACCTTAATTATCTCCTTAAAGGCCCTGTCTTCAAATACAGTCGTATTGAGGGGTTACGACTTCAACATAAGGTTTTGGGGGGGATACAATTCAGTCCGTTACAGAAGGAGTGGAGAAGAGTCAGAGAATCAGAGACAGCAGGTACAGACAACTTTCAAAGAACTTTATTATATAAAGAGGAGGAGAGAAATGGGACAGTAGTTTGGTGTGGATGTGGGGTTAAGAGAGGATTTTTTTTTTTAAGATGGAGGTGTTACTGCATGTTTGTGTGCTGGTGGGAATGACCCAGTCGAGGGGAAAAGCCGATGATGGAGAGAGCAAGGCCAGTGCTAGAGTGATGCTCTTGAGGAGGTGAGAGAGGATGGAATTCATGGCACAGGAAGGCAGGGAGCACATCAGGGCAGAGAGGCAAGTCAGTTAATAGGCTGGGGAGCACAGAAGATGAGAACAGGCAGTGTTCTAGGCAAGGGGAGTGAGGGAATACCTGTGAAAGACCATCAGAAAGAAGCAGCCAGAATTACCTTTCACTCTTTGTCTCTTAGAGAGCCTCGTGGGGAGGTGCAGGGAAGGCTGTTAAATCATGGATTTGTAGAGGGAAGTGTGGTGTCTCCCATCGTGAACGCTTTTAAAAGTCTCATGGATTCTCAACCCCACGTTTTGCCTGGGGCCATGGCGAAGGATACAGTTTCCCTTCAGCCCTTTCAAACCTGAAATCAACCCCGATGCATAATGTCTTACCCATAGTCTGTTGGTTGTTGCCACATCAAACCCCCGAGACCCACAAAGTTGAAAGTTTTGGAGTGAAATGTTATGTATTGAAAATAGTCTGCCCAAAGCTTAGTGCTCTCCCTGAGCACTTCAGTGTGTTAGATACTGCCTGTCAGGAGAAGAGGTGCAGACTCCTGTAAATCAGTTACTGCCAAGTGTCGGCACCTCTGCTTCCCATTCCCTGACTAGAATCCAGGGTCCTAAATCAAGAAGCAATCAGGATATTATAATTATAGAAAATACTTGTTGAACACCACCTTTGTGGCCGGGACAGTGCTCAATGCTTTGCATATATTACCTCATTTAATCTTCCCAACAGCCCATAAAGGAGGCCCAGAATTGTCCCCATTTTACAATGAAGACACAAGGGAACTAGAACACAGTCATGGAACTGGTGAGCAACTGGGCTAGGAGTCAAAACCAGGTCTGTTTGACTCCAAATTCTTGGGATGTTTCGTTTTTCTTTTTTAATTTAATCAAAGAGACAAGTGTGCATCACTAAAAAATAAAAAGTCCAGAAAAGTGCATGATGAAAAACAAGTTTCGCCCACTGATCCTAATTTTCTCATTCCCCCTAAAAAGCCTAGAAAAAAGTTCCTAACTACGACGCTGAACCTTTCTAAGATGCACACAAGATGATGAGTTCAAATCACTTAAGAGAATTCACTAACATTATGGACGCAAACTATAAAAATATATCACAACTCTTAGAGGATATGGCATGTATATAAGCCGATACCAAAAAAAATTTTTTTAAGAGGGAGCTGTTACCACTGTTATCCATTTTAGATATTTCTTTAAAAATAAAAATCCAGTGTTCGAGGTCTTATACTGGGTACAGCCTGCAAGTTCGTCAAGGATTATTGTCACCATTATATTATATACGAAATCGTATGTATTTGTATGTGCGCGTATATAAATTTTTCTTGGGAGAGAAATTCTAGTTTTTGTCAAATTCTTAAAGGAGCCTGTGTCCCCTAAATAGTTAAGAACCGTGGCTTCAGCTCCTAAACCTAGGTGTTCTGGTTGTAGATTGGAAGAGAGAGAAGGATCTTGGCCTGTGTTTTTGTTTTTTGGGGTTTTTGAGGGGTTTTTTTTGGTGAGGAGGAATGGCCCTGAGCTAACATCTGTTGCCAATCTTCCTCTTTTTGTTTGAGGAAGATTGTCACCGAGCTAACATCTGTGCCAGTCTTCCTCTATTTTTTGTATGTGGGATGCTGCCACAGCGTGGCTTGACAAGCAGGGTGTAGGTCTGCGCTTGGGATCCGAACCCGTGAACCCTAGGCCGCCGAAGTGGAACGTGCAAACTTCACCCTTACGCCACCGGGCCAGCTCCTCTTGGTCTGTGTTTTAATGGGAGTAAGAAATGAACCTGGACCCGTGAGACCACAGTCCACAAAGATGTATCCCCTCAAGCCCCTGGTCCCTGTAGCCCCTATGAATTGAACAGTCCTTGCCTTAGTGAGCCTGGCGAGGTTTCTCATCTCTCAGAGCTTTGACTGGGACTCTCAGGGTCTGAGTTTCTTTCTCTTTGACCACCAGGCTTCCCAGAAATTACTAGTTTTCTTCCATGTTCCCAAAACGTTGTCAGATCACACTAAAGAAACAGGGCCTCCCTCCTCCTTGTTCCTCCATGACACCAGGAAGCGGCCCGCCTCAGATTAGGTACAACTCGAGCCCTTTGGCACCTCATGCATCAGGTGACCGTGCTGAGGTTACCAAGGTGATTATCTTTCCTCTGTCTCTCCAGTTTTTATTTGCCCAAGAAGTAGACATGGAAACTTCTTCCAGCCTTTCCTGAATCTCTGCTCTCTTTTAACTCAGGAGACAGGGAAGGATTATAAAATTAAATCTTTAAGACCCGCTATGAGGCAGTCCACCACTGAGATCTGTAACCTCACCCGTTGCTGGCTTCCCTGCATTGGACTGGGTCCTGGAGAAGAGTGATTCTCAGCCATGACAGTTGTTCTCTCTGTGACAGTTGTTCACATCCACTGTACCACTTCACGTGTCCTGCAGTGATTCTCTAAGAGGGACGGGGGACGTGTCAGAATTGTCAATAGAGGAGAGAACCGTTGAGTTACAGAGAGACCAGCTCGGTAATTTGGGTCTGGATGTGGGGTATACTAGGAATAAACTCTGCCCAGTTCTGGAGAGTAGCCACTTAGAAGAAGACAGCTAAGTCTCAGGACTCTGGTTCAGCATCAGAGGGCTCTGGTATCATCTCAGGATCTGTCAGAATCAGGTGCTGGGGACTTTCTGCTGATGCCCACGAAGGAGGCAGAACTGCTTCACAGAGCTCACAGCTCTGCAGGCTGTGTGGGCAGGACAGGGGGTATGTCCAGAGCTGGCCCAGCCTTCAGTGCTTGGACAGACAGAGGCCAATGGGGCCTCATCAGGCACAGAGGCTCGCTGCAGGGCTCCGGTCCTTGGAGGTGTGGCTGGAGCAGCTGCTGGCTGAAGGAGGGGGGTAGTTCCCAGAATAAACAAATACTCGATAGTCAAGTCAGACTGTATCCAGAGGAAGCCTGAGCAGAAGCTGAACAGCGTGCTGACCTTCTCCTGAATAAATTCTGAATGTAATCATAGAAGAGGATATTATGGAAATGAAGAACAATCACATTAGCTGTTCCAGAGGAGATTCACTGGCTTGATGGAATACAAATGCTAATCAGTTGGCTATTTTTTTTAATAAGTCTAGAGCTTGGAATGGAATATCCCTAATAATTTGATTATTTTGCTATGCAAGAAGGTACATAACCCACAGTGCCCGTGTCTTCTGACCATGTCATTACCAGGGCAGCCTGAGGCTGTCCATCTGCTCTGTCAGCTTAGTGGGTTGGTCTGTGGGAGCCGTATCTGCTCTGCAGAGTGGTGTGGCTCAAGGCAGGGGGCTTGTGGTGGATAAGGTCTGGGGTTGGGGGGTGATGAGGTGGTAAGTAGGATTTGAATGGGGAGCTGGAGAGAGAAGAGGGTTGAGACCTGCAAGGAGGTGCCGCTACTTTGCCTTTCCTTGGCTCCTGAATGACCATCCTGGTGGTCATTACCTTCTCCCTCACCGACTTTCTAGAAGGGCTCTGACGCCCAGAGAAGCAGGTGGCGGTTTGTGCAACTTCTGCTCTTGCTCTTGGCAGTGCCTCCTGTGATTGTGTTTTCTGGGCATTCGTGCAAGTGCTTTCCAGCTTGCTCCCTTTCCCTTCTCCTCCAGTTTATCACAGTTCAGTGAAGAGAACATGATGGACCCCTACAACCTCGCCATCTGCTTCGGGCCCTCACTGATGTCAGTGCCTGAGGGCCACGACCAGGTGTCCTGCCAAGCCCACGTGAACGAGCTGATCAAAACCATCATCATCCAGCATGAGAACATCTTCCCCAACCCCAGAGAGCTGGAGGGCCCCATCTACAGCAGAGGAGGAAGCACGGAGGATTACTGGTAGGGGGCTCAGGGCTGCAGGAGGGAGGGCGTCACCAGCACACACGAGTGTGGGGGCCAGATGGCCAAGTGAGACCAAAAGGAAATACAGAGATCTTCCCAGCCTCCCACTCCCGGGAGCTTCAAGCTGCCAGGGTCTGGGGGTGGTGTAGGCAGTGTCCCACCTTGACCCGACCTACGGAGTAAGTGCCTCTTCATGCCACCTCCCTTTTCTTATGAGTTCTGAGTGGTGAGGGACAATTCTGAAAGATGACAACAATAATAGTAACATCAAAAATCTCCAAGAAAGGGAATTTATAAAGTTGTATATAGAACTGCTGTTTGTCAGTGAGCAGTGTCTCTCAGGCTCCTACTCTGTGCTGTGTGTTGTGAGAGAAAGACATTCCTGGGTCCCAGGGAATTTCTTTCTTATTGGGACGAGTTTAGATTGGAGGCATGATTTCCTGACTGTGAGTTTTTACAATGATAATTTAGAGTGATTTCAGAAATTTGTGAAGAGAAAGAGGGGTAAGCTCCATTTTCAACAGGTTCTGCACAGTTCCACCCTGACGCAGGATTAAATTCTGTGGGGCAAGGTTTTTGCATGACCTCGCCTGGGATCAGAGATATGAAAGGAATCCCAGGGGCACATCTTTACTAGCCCCTTTCATTAGACAAATAACGAATCACTATTTCCATTCTACAGATAAAGTCACTGCAGCCCAGAGAGGCCAGTGACAGTCTTTCAGGCCAGTCCAACTCTGATCTCTTGTCTCTTAGTGCAGGGCACCATCCAGCACCCCACACTGCCCCCCAGGAGTCCACTTACCGAGTCAGTTTTCCACTCAGGACAGAGACAACTGCCTCTCTCTTACTCTCTAATGTCCCTTACCTCCTCCTCCTCCCCCCGCTCCCTCCTTCCCCTAAAGAGTGTTTCAGCCTGGCTGAAAGCATAAGCCAGCCCAAATCAGATCCCATCTGAATTCAACATCTGGAACCAATTCAGCCAGACCCATTGCTATCGACTGAGGTAGGGGAGGACAGGGGAGGTTGTTTACTTAATTAGAGGCCAGTTGGTCTGTGCTTCTCCCTGAAGGAGCCTCCTGCCCAAGGAGTGAAGAAAGTGATACTCATGTGTCTGTGAGCATAAAAACATCATTGATATCCCTGGCTTCCGTCCCCTCCACTGTCCTGCAGGTCCCACCGTCTGGGTCTGAGCTGGAGAAACCTAGGCTTGCTGGCTCGGAGAGAAAGCTTTTTGTCACAGATGGTTGGTAGGGACTGGGGAGGTTGTTCAGGTCTCAGTCTACTGGCTGTGAGCTCCCGGGGGCTGTCCTTGTGCATGTGAGTTGGGGAGTTGGTTTCCCTAGAAGGAGTGTTGAAAAGCAGTGGAATAGTGTTCCCAATTCCTGCTTTACCTTCCTCCTTTCTTTACCTGCCCTCACTTCTCAGACACCAAACCGCTGCAGGCGCTGGACGGATCCCAGGACACAGAGCCCCCCCACAGTCCAGCTCCCCCAGTCCCAGCCCAGGGGAGCAGACAGAGCCCTGATAGGGGGTGGCTCCCAGGGGCACGGATGGAGGGCATCTTCGTGCAGTTCTCTCCAAAGTGTTCTCCCCAGCTTTGTTGTGCATTCGACATTTATTAGCAGCCTCTGGAAAAACTACAAGATTAGTGGGGGAACACTAGCCGTTACAATCACAGACTGGGTGGGAGGCCAGAAGCACCAAGGATCAAGAGTAAGTGACCCTGGGTAAGAGGTGCCGTCTGACCACGGAGTCACACTCCCTCTTTGGGAAGAGAGAGAAGTGCCAGTGAAGTGAGCTGAGACCAGTGAAGGAGGTGAGGGAGGGGTAGCAAAAGGGGCCTAGAGCCCAAGAACCCTAGAGAGTGGCTGGGGGACCAGAACAGCCACAAAGGGGGCACACCAGGCCACTTGGCCTCCCCGTGGGCAGCTGTGGAGAGGACAGGCCAGTCCCACTTCACCACTCTTAGCAGCCCTGAGACTGGAGCCCGGTTTTCTAGGACGGCCTGCCGTGTGCCAGGCTGGGCTTCTTCTGAGACCACGGATATGGGTGGGCCTGGGGGTGTTGCTGGGGTGTGAGTGTGGAACTCAATCCACAAGAAGTATAGGATTTTAGGGCTGGAAAGGACCTTGAAAAGCATCATCTTGCCTTCACTTGAGGGCAGTGGTTTCCAGGGAGTCCCAGGACCAACAGCATCTGTATCACGTGGGACTGGTTAGAACCAGCAACACTCCGGCTCCACCCAGACCTAGTGAATCAGAAACTCTGGAGGTGAGGCAGTCTGTTTTTAACAAGCCATCCAGGACTCCCTGAACTTTGAGAACTGCTACCTTAGTGGATGGCCCACATCAACAGACTTGGAGCCCTGGGGAAGTGAGCCTTTGCCCTGCGCACCCCTGGGGCCCTGAGCGTTTCCAGAATGTCACCAAACTCATCAGAGGGTTTTTAGGCCCAGAAAACAGTGAGATTTGTGCCCAGGTTTTTTGACAAAGAGGAATCCCTGTTGATGTTCTTACAGAATGTTCGCTGGAGTCTGGAGAACCTCCTTGGAACTGACTTGCTTCACACAGTATCAGTTCTGAACTGGTCCCCTGGTCTTTGAGGAACTTGCTAGGAGTGAAGGACCTGTCCCGTGGGGAGGGAGAGGCTGCAGGCTCAAAGTAGAAACTATGAGGCCAGGCTATGGGGTTGAGGGGGTGGTGGTGCTTCCTTAGAACTGCCTGGAAAGGCTCACTTGTCACTGCCAACTGCCAGAGAAAGAAACTTCAGAAATAAATGGGGTTTTCCTCTACTTTTCAGGAAGTAAGAACTTGCTGATGCCCCTCCGCAGGCACTGTGAAGTCCATGAGCCAGGAGATCAGAAGTAGAAATGACTTTGCTAGTAACTTCCCTGGCCATTCTCGATTCTCTATCCTGGATGACTTTTCGACTCCATGGATTTTTTCACGACCTTGACCCACCTTCCATCCCCTGCCCTCTTGCAGTGTCCAGCCCACAGTAGAGTCTTCTTCCCCTGCTCTTGTTCCCCACCCATTTCTGTGACTCACCTCTCACTTTCTCACCAGTACACCAACTAAACCACAAAGCAGCCTAGAGGCATCCAGCAAAGTGAGAAAGAAGGCAGAGAAGTACCATCTTTTAATCATCCCCTCGTGTTGCGTAGAATCCTCACTCGACTCTGTGAGGTGTACAGACCATTATCCTCAATTTACAGATTAGATAGCTGAGGCTTAAAGAGATGAAGTAACTTGCCCAGGGTTACACAGCTACTGGGTGTCAGCTGGGTTTTGGATCCAGTTGTATCTGCTGCTAAAGCCTTGTGTTTTCCTTCCACCACGCTCCCTCTAGGAACTAAGTCGCCTAGAGAAACAGCCCTTGAGGAGTTGAGTTGTTCTGTATTTTCAAAAAGATTTGTAAGTTCAAAAGGGCTTCCCTTTGTCTCAATATAGTCTAAGTCCCAAGTATTCTCAAATAATTTTTGTAGCAGGAGCTAGGTTAGAGAACCTCTGGAGCCTTCTATTTCATTGTAAACATTTGACTGTTGTGTGCAATCAGGATGTAGAAAGCATAAGATAGATTCCGTGCCCTTACTCCGAGGCATGGAATCATGTGAAGGAGAAGACAAGAATTTTGTAAGCAAATGCTGAGGCCCGGTTACTCTTGCTTTTGTTGCAGTGACAGCCCTCACGGCGAGACTACCTCGGCTGAAGACTCAACCCAGGATGTGACCGCAGAGCACCACACCAGCGATGACGGTACGAGGCCCCGCTTGGGGGCAGTGGGGCCACCCGGGGTGAAGCAAAAGGAAGGAATTCTATATCCTGTGCTCCTCATGAACCCTCCTGCCCAGCAGTCCCCTGAAGACGGGCAGGGAGCTCTCCTGTCTCTCCTTTTCATTCCTTCCCTTTCTTGGAGAGGCAGCCCACCTTCTCATGTAGAATGGTCTCTGTATTAAACCAGAGCTGAATAGCTAGACCTTTCACAGCCCTTCAGCCCTCTTGCCTACCTCCCAGCTCCTTGTCTTGCCTGGCTGTCTCACCAGTATGATTTCGGTCCCGTGTCACAGCTCAGATTCCTGCCAGGGAGCTGGAGACCAAAGCGAAAGAGAGCTCGTTTGAAAAATAGTGAGCCTGGGGAATAGAGAAGCTGGGTGCCAGGAACCCAGCAGAAGCAAGCCAGAGGGGATTGGGGGTCAGGACACAGAAACCACAGGCTTTCACACTGCCACCTGGAAAAATTGGCCCTTTTCCAGAGTGTAGACATGCGGGTGCCTCGCAGCCTGGTGGGTGTGCGTCAAGAGGTGGAATGCGTAGCTGTCATCCCCAGGCCCCTCGACAGTGCCCATGATTTATTAGGGTCTGTCCAGCCAGCACATTTCCCCTCCTTCCAACAGTTCCACACCTTCATTTCTGGATCACTTGGGCTCTGGAACTCTCAGCAGCTGATAACAGGCCTCAGAATTTTCTGGGCATGAGAATGAAGTGGCACAATCCCACAGAGCTTTCCTTTCTCCCTGCCTTGCTGTGAATTCTACAGTCCTAGGCCAGCTTTTAATGGAGAAAAAAATTAGGACTGTTTATTTGGATCCTGAGGTCAGATGGATCAATGTGATAATTTGCCACATTATGGGGAAGGAGTAGGTAAACTAGGGAAATTCGTGTTTCTTTAGAGCCTCCCGTGTGCCCCGCACCGCTAGAGCTTCATATGTCTCATCTCCTAATCCCTAGTGAAACAGAGAGAGCTGCTATTTTATAGTTGAGAAAACAGGTCAGAGAGGTCAAGTGACATACCCGAGGCGTTACAGAACTGGGATTGGGATAGTCACGCACTGCATAACGATGTTTCATTCAATGAGGGACCACATAGATGACGGTGGTCCCATAAGATTAGTGCTATGTAGCCTAGGTGTGTAGTAGGCTGTACCATCTAGGTTTGTGTAAGGACACTCTGATGTTTGCACAACGGCAAAATCACCCAACAACGCATTTCTCAGAACGTATCCTCTCCGTTAAGTGACGCACCACTGTATTTAGAAGGCCTTCTCTGGTCTGCCTCCTGCAGTGAAATCTCTGGCCCTGCACGCCTGTTCAGGAGCAGACCCACCAGCCGTGGCTGCCGAGGCATGGTTTTGTTTTTAAGCAGCCTTTCTCTCCACTACTCAGAATATCCAACTTTCACTTCAGGTTCCAGCTTTCTGGGAGCCTTCTTTTTGCTCTCTGACCTCTACCTGCAGCCCAGAACAGATCACGATAATGCTGACAATAACGACCGTGGCTAACACATACGCAGCACTTACCCTGGGCCAGGCGCTGTTCTAAGCACTTTTACTGTTACTGACTCCTCATAACAGCTCATGAAAGAGGCATTATTATTACCATCCCTGTTTTACAGACGCGAAAACAGAAGCTCACGCAAAAGTAAAAATACATTGCATTTGTAAACCCCTTTCAATTTTTCAGATCACTTTTATGCACATTTTTCCATATATTGTCCACAAAATATATTTCCATATTTTGCTCCTTGGAAAGTTGATTGGGCAAGTTATTTTCTCTTTATAGAGACTAAAAGCTCATGTTCTACTAGGGGGAATGAATAACCTAAGTAAATTATTTAAAATACAATATGATAAATGTTCTACAATTAATGGAGTTATTTTATAATCAGAAAAGAAATAACGCTTACAAATACAGTATGGCAAGTTCGATGATAGGGATTGGCGTCAAGAGCTAAAGAAGTTACTATAGGAAGCAGGTGATGTTTGAGTTGTGACTCGAGGTGTTCCATCAGGCAGATGAGAGAGAAAGGGATTCCAGGTGGAGGGAACAGCATGAGCAATGGCAGGAAAGGTCGTCATGTGCTTTTAGGGTGATGGCACAGTCTACATGGGAATTACCTGCTTTATAGATCGTCCGTGGCTTATTTTTCACACGGGGTTATTTTCCCACCACTGTAAGTTCAGCTAATAGGACTTTTCTGCGCAGTCTCCTGAGTCTGTGAGTCCCAACAACATGTGTTTCCTTCTTTTCCTCCCCTCCCAGAGTGTGAGCCTATTGAGGCCATTGCCAAATTTGACTACGTGGGCCGGACAGCCCGAGAGCTGTCCTTCAAGAAGGGGGCATCCCTGCTGCTTTACCAGCGGGCTTCCGACGACTGGTGGGAAGGCCGGCATAATGGCATCGACGGACTCATCCCCCATCAGTACATCGTGGTCCAAGACACGTATGTTGGGCCCCCTGCACTTTTAGGGGTCCCTGACTGCACTGTGGGAGTGAGACTTGATTTCTGGAGCCATAGGGGGATGAAGGAGACCAGTCCCCAGGGGGCGCCAACGTGGTCCTGAGGTCACACTGTTCCTTGAAGGCCCCCAGACTTCGTGGAGAATTGTTTTTTAATCTCTCCACTCTCTGTTCCCCCTGCAAATCACTTCTCCACCACGACCCCCCAGTCATTTTAGAAACGTGCCAGCCGGCACTCCTCCACACTTGTACCTGATGAGTGATAATGCGGGAGTATTATTTGACCACTGACATTTCCTTTCTGGAAAGATCAGGTTGGGAAAACATTTTTACTTCTCTTTTTTTAAGCAACTATGCCCACCCCAACTGTTGGGCCACTGATGACGCTTTTCCACTTAAATGAAAATGTTGAGTTCCTTAATTCTAGGAGAAATCTAGCTTAAGCAGCCTTGGCAGAAATGACCCAGGTCATTTAACCCAGAGGAGGTTGACTTGGGGAAAGATGTTGGGTCAGGGGTGTCAGGGAACAAAGGAAATGTGACCCGGTACTGGTCCTAGAGAAACTTCATCAGACAGGCTGTCGGCTGGTTCTAGCTCTTTAAAACAATGTCCCCCAGGCCCCTGTGGCCACCCGAGCCTGCTTCCCTACCCCCCTGCCCTGCCTCTGCCCCCAGCTCCCTCCCCTTGGATACAATGCTGTCAGTGTTTTTAGTCCTTCCCTTAATATTATTTTTTAAAGGTTGATATCCTGAATGAGTCTGCACCCTCCCAGCCTCTCCCCGGCTCGTTCTACGGGGAAATCCTCCCTGTTGATAACATCGCAAACCTGGTGGCCATCTGTGCGTGGACAGGACCCTCCCAAATTTAGCATTATGACTTCACTACAGGACCGAGAGAAGATGAATTGTGAGGGAGAAGGGGCTCACTTTGTCATCAGTAGCCAGAGGGGCCAGGAGAGCAGTGGAGAGACCTGGGACTGGCTGGACGCCCTAAGCGGGGCTGGATGCGCTACGACAGAGTGTGGCGGTGTCCTGCCTCAGCGCCGGCATATCCAGAGCCACCGCAGAGCTGACTGTCCTTACCTGGCAGTGCTGGGACCTCAGCAGCTAAACCGCCACCTGGACTGGCCGCCTCCTTCTCCAGGAGGTGGCCCAGCACAGCTGCCCCAGGAAAGCAGCATGGGCTAGAAGGCAGATGCCTTGAATTCAGGTGTCCCCTAGCCCATCTTTCCAGAGGAGCTCGGGATCCCGCAAAACTCAGTGGGACTATTTATTTTTATTTAAACAACCCTCCAAAGGCCCTTAGGTTCCCTGCCTCTGCTCACAGAGCCGGCCCAGCCAGCCATCGCCGCTGCCTCCAAGCCGTCGTGGGGTTGCGTGTGTGTCGGGGGGCCATCTTGCTGATTTAACACTGCTTTTTGTGTTGTTGTTGTTTTCCCCTCTTCCCTGCCTGCCTGCCCCATCTCCCCAGCGAGGACGGTGTCGTGGAGAGGTCCAGCCCAAAGTCTGAGATTGAGGTCATTTCTGAGCCACCTGAAGAAAAGGTGACAGCCAGAGCGGGGGCCAGCTGTCCCAGTGGGGGTCATGTAGCCGATATTTATCTTGCAAACATCAACAAGTAAGCTCTGCTTTTCATTTTCTGCTCCCCTGAACGACTTGTAACACCCAGCCTCACCCTGTGGCCTAACCCCCTCTCCATTCCTGTGCTGCACGTAGGGCTCCCAGCTCCCCAGGCCTAACAGTTTGCATGTGCTCATTGCTGCTACAAGGCGGTCAGGGCCGAGGAAGCGTCCACAGTCCTCGTGGGCAGGTCCCGGTCTCCAGCAGCTGCTGTCATGCTGCGGAAGGTGCTCCACTCTGTGTGCCTGCAGCATCTGTCAGCTCAGACCTTCCCGGCTATCTGACTGCGGAAACTTGGGCCAAAGCTTTGGTCACTTTATGCAACTTGGTTTTGTACTGTTTCTCAGAGGTGCCTTCTCTTTTCCATCCTTACTCAAATAATAGTCTTTAGTGTCCTCTTTGGCCCTTGTCTGTCCAGAGACCCCAAGTCTTGTGTGTCTTCTCCGAGGCTCGCATTCCCCCAGATGGGTATGTTTAGACATCATGTGTCTGTTTCTCCCCATCCTGCTTCACTCAGGAAAGGAGACCACCACGCCCCCAAGGAAGGCTTTGTCCTGAACTCTTGATTCATCATCTAACCCCTAGCTCCCTTTTCTTCTGCCCTTTCACACCGGTAGAAATAACTTTCCGTTTTTTCCCTGTTGCTTTGGCCCTGTGTATTATCCGTCCCTGTTAGTCCCTTTGCAGATTCCCACTCCTGTCCAGCAGGCTCTTAACTCTGCCCCCAGCTTTCATTGTGGCTGTTAGCAACGTGCTGGAGTTTTAACTCCACCCACACCCTATCTGACTGTCTAGAGGGATTCCACGCCTGTGTGCTGCTGCCTCCCCTAGAGACATTCAGGTTATTGGAGAACTAATCTCATCCCAAGGGGCCAGACACCAAGTCCCAAAGCCAACAGACCTCTTTCCACCAGACCCTGAAACTTGGCCCAGTGCCAGCAGGATGACAAGCCCCAGGGTACTCCTGATGAATATGGATTGGAGATGATGTACAGTTTTTATTCCCCTCTGGCTTTGGAGGAATGAAATGATTTGCACATTGAAAACCTGTTAACCATAGCCTCTGGACACTGAAACTGGAAGGAGAATAAAAGATGCTTGTTGTTTTTAAACTGTACCAGGTTGCCCAGATCTCTTGGCTTTTTTCCAACCAGACGGTAGCAGGGGGAGTGGTTGGGGCACGTGGCTCTTTTCCATCTCTTTCGCCCTCAAGTTAGTAAAGTAGCTGATCCAGCTCACTCAGTCAGTGTGGTTATAATTTAAGTCAGACCAGTGAAAAAGACTGAGGATTTAGGGCCGGCCCCATGGTGCAGCGGTTAAGTGCTCGCGCTCTGCTACTGGCAGCCCAGGTTCGGATCCCGGGCATGCAACGACGCACCACTTGTCAGGCCATGCTGTGGCGGCCTCCCATATAAAGTGGAGGAAGATGGGCACGGATGTTAGCTCAGGGCCAGTCTTCCTCAGCAAAAAGAGGAGGATTGGCGTGGGTGTTAGCTCAGGGCTGATCTTCCTCACAAAAAAAAAAAAAAAGATTGAGGATTTTATTTGTGTCCCTTGAGCATCGTGCCCTGCTGGAAGGGCAAGCTAATAAAAAGTAACTGTGGGCTAATCACATTTTTTTGCTTATTTACAAGTCTATGTTAATTATAAGCCTATAATCATAAGGTCGTAAGCCTATAGTTAACCCAGAAACCAAGGCACGATTGGTGGAGGGAGAGTTAGATAATTAGTTAGGTACATATTTTTAAGCTATCGTATATTTGATGCCATTTGTAGAGAGTAATAGCTGAAATAGTCAAAAGATGAACATCTGGTGGAAGTCAGGGCAGTACCCTTGAACTCCTTGCTTGGTGATGTCAGGATGGGGCCCTTGAAGGACATGGTCTACCTGACATCAGCTCGTCAGTGGATGAGTGGCAGCCCCGCAGCGTGCCTTGCCCTCAGGAGTGACTCTGCCCTCCAGCTGCCCTCATGCCCCACACAGCACTCTCCCAAGCCCCTTCACTGTCCTGAGTGCCCGGGTTCTCTCTCACCCCTGGACCTTTGCTTCTGCTGTCTCCTCACCTGGTCAACTCCCCCTCGCCCTTCAAGACTTAGTCCGAACATTTACCTCTCTGGGGAAGCCTTCTGAAACCCCCAGGTTCCTCAGGGCTGAGTTCTGTGCCCTTGTTCAGTATTCCCAAAGCAGTCTGAGTATCTCTCAGGACTCAAGCTGCACTCAGATGCCCACCTGGCTGAGCTCCTTCAGAGTTCCTGAAACCAGGAACTCTGTCTTCCTCTCTTTACATCCCTGAGGCCTGGCCCGGGACCTGGCACATACCAGCCACTCCATAAATCTGCCTTCTCAGCAGTTTTAGCCCTGTGAGTCAGCCATCCTTAAGTAGAAAAAGGAAATCAGCGCAGAGTTATTAGGGTATGGCATTTCACTTTAATTCCACACGTTTACTGAGTATCTACTGTTGTGCCAACCACTGATGCTGGTTATTCAAAGATGAATAAGATGGTCCCTGGTCTCAGAGCTCACAGTCTGGCAAGGTACCTACTATATAGTCTGGTAACTAAGAAGCAGTGCCGTCAGTGCTCTGAAGGAACAGAAGGAGTTATCGGTTCTGCCTGCTGTTGGAGTTGGGGTACTAGCGAAGACTTGGCAGAGGAAGAGTCATTTCAGCTGGGCCTTATAAGACTCTGAGAACGTCTTTTTTCCTCTCGAGAATGGCTGACACCTAAGGCTACACTGCTGAGCAGGCAGCTTCATGGAGTGGCCACGATGTGCCAGGTCCTGGGCAAGGCCCCGGGAAGGCCTAACCAGTGAACAGGACCAGGACTGGCTCGGAACACTGGTCCTGCCACATAAACTACCCCCTTATCTTCAGGTCCTACCCCTTCCTTTTTTCCATCCTCAACTCCTGCCTCAGCCCCAGTCACCCTTAGTGGATTCAAGATCGGAGCTGCCCAGCTGCCATCCCAAACCAGCAGTTTCATTGCTTCTTAGATTAGGTCCTTTAGAATCTGATTCCAAGAGAAAATGAAATTATTCAGCAGTAGGGAACACCCATATTGGACTCTAGTACTCTGCCCAACTATTTCATATGCGAGCCTTAGTGGTCTGAAACAAATTGACTCAGAGCCAGGGTTCAACCCAGTGCTGGGTGATTTAGGGTCATGTAGATGTATTTCCACCCTAAGAAAGTGCATAAACTTGGCCCTAACTCTGCAGCATTGCAGCCTCTTGAAAAATATTCTGTTCCATGTGTACAGAATAAGCAACAACCGCCTCTTGCCAAAGCCCAAAATGATTACAGTTTTGTGGTTGGACTAAGAAATATGCTAAAATTTGGAAAAGTCAACTCTCCTCTTACCAGCGATTCCCCGCCTCCTTGGTGATGGCAAGACACTTTCTCCTGCCTGGGGCCTGGTTTCTGTTCAAAGCAGGTGATGGAGGGGCCTTTCCATGAATCTGTCTCCCATTAGAAACTTTGGTTTAAGCAGACATTTTTCCTGACAGCACCTCACATCTTGAGAACTGAAAGCCCACGACCACCAAGTAAGTATTCATTTCTCCTTTGCCCAGGTCGGGGTGGCAGGGGACCAGACATGGAGAAGGGAAGGCAAACCGAGGAGAGCACATGCTCTGTGTCCCTCTCACTCCAGAAGTCCCTAGGCTCCAACATCTGCCCCTCTCTCACTCGTCCTAGCTTCCTTGGAGCCAGGGCTCCCTGATCACACTGCCCTTTCTGTTTGTGATTGAAGGCAGAGGAAGCGGCCAGAATCTGGGAGCATCCGGAAAACATTTCGGAGCGACAGCCATGGGCTGAGCAGTGCCCTAACTGACCCCGCCTCCCCGGGGGTAGGGGCTGGCTGCCGCCCATCTTCCCAGCCCATCGTGAGCCAGAGTCTCCCCAAGGAAGGGCCAGATAAGTGTTCCATCAGTGGGCACGGCAGCCTCAACTCCATCAGCCGCCACTCATCCCTGAAGAATCGCCTGGACAGTCCACAGATCCGGAAGACAGTAACAGCAGGAAGGTCAAAAAGCTTCAATAACCATCGGCCCGTGGACCCTGAGGTCATTGCACAGGTAACTGGGGGCTCCTGGACAAACAGCTAGTATGAGTCTACACTTGTCAGTACTGCTTAGTGCAGCCCGTGCTCATTAGAGCAGGACTTGAGACAGAACGGTGCTTTGTACACTATACACCGAGCTTAGGGACTGTTGGACTTTTGGACCTGATAAGACAGCTATCCAGGAAATTTGCCCATCCCTCTCTCCCCAAGAAGAACTTGAAGACAGAATAAAAGAATTCAGATTTCTTGCTCATATACAGGCTATTTGTAAGGCTGTTGTAATTTTTAAGCCAGTAGTTACAGATAGAGTATTTTGATAGAGTCCATTCATCCCAAGTTTTGAGTCTTGAGACCCTGGTAGACTTTAGTGAAGCTGCTTGAGTGTTGAGGCTCAGATGTAGTTCTGGCCACATTTGTATATCACTCTGCCCATCCCCATCATCCCATTTTCTGAGGCTAATCTCTGGCCCCTAGTGGTAGATAGATGATCAGTCAACGATCTGCTGCTGGTCTTGAAGGCCCCGAAATACTCTGCTGTTGGGAGCTCGGGTCCCAGAAGTGTTTCCAGCCCAAGTCTCCAGATGCAGTGGAGATGAGCTCCCTGGTTACAGGGTCTTCTTTCTGTATATGCACCACACTGACAAGTCTCTGTTTTCCGTGAAATATTAGAGATCCAACCCCACCTCTAAAAATCCGGCTACCGGGGCCACTCCAAGCAGTTCACTCAGACGTCTCTCCCAACTCTATAATTTTCATTAGACCAGGTAGGAACTAAGGGCTCATTGTTGCCCTCTTATGTCTCAACCGAGTTGAGATTCTCCTTACCCCATCTTCCAGCGGGCAATAGAGGCTGGGTATAGTCTCTATTGGCTTAATTGTGGTGCTCTGCTAAGGGAAGGTGGACCTGGCAAGCACAGTATTAAGCTACAGGCCTGAGATGTCTTGCTTTGCTAGCCTTTTATTTCTGTGCCTCTACTTAAGCTCTTGGCTGCAATCTGCCTTGCGCTGTGGGAATCCTCCTAGCTCCCTCTTTCGCCAGGTATTAATAGGGATGTCTGAATAGGTACACAGCTGGGACAGACTGGCTGCAGAGCAAGACTGAGGAGGGAGATGGAGTTCTTCCTGAGCATTTGTAAGGTTTGAGAACATCGTAGGGATGAGTGAAATTGAATCACTATCAACAGAACGCATGGATCACCCTGTAGGACAAAGAAACCTTAACCAGGGACCTTTGCTTGGAAATTTCACAATTTTTCAATGTAAGCCTAATCCCAAGAGAAGAGCCCTGTGGTGGTTTAGGGGTGCCAGATACAAGTGTGTGGGGAGGGAGGGAGCTGGGAGGTCTCCCTGGGAGGCAGCTGGCTGCATACAAAGGGTCTTTGGTTCTGCCTTGAGGCCCTGAGCTAGGACTGCTATTTCCTAAGATCTGGAGTGTTCCACTGTGACTTGCAGAAGGTGATTCACCTATGTGGGCTCTGGCTCCCCGTCCTGGTCACTCTTTGGTCCCCTCTCCTGGTGATGGGTAGAAGGAAATGGCTTCATCAAGTTGGGTCCGGGGAGGCTGTGTGGGGCAAGGGCAGGAGAGGTGTCCTGATGGATCTTCAGGGCCAGGGCTCTCGAGCCTTTCCTCAGCCCTTGAGGAGGAACAACTGACCCTCCTAACCTTTGGCCTTAAAGTCCAAGAGAAGAAAGAACATACTTCCATCTCTACCACTTTCTAAAAAAGTGTTTATTATGTACAATTTCAAGCGTATACAAAAGCAGAGAGAATTGGATAATGAATCCCATGTACTCATGTCCAAATTCCTGGCCACTTTTAGTTCATCCACCTTTCTCTTCCCCACTGGGTTGTGTGTCATTTCATCCATAAATATTTCAGTGCATATCTCTAAAATCCAAGGCCTCCATTTAAGAAACATCTCAACCACTCTTTCTAAAGGAAAAAGAAAACCTCATGATAATGAAAATCCCTTTGTTCCCCTTCCCCCACATTCTAAATTTGCATGTGTTTAAGGATTTTGGCCACATAAAATAATCTGGACTTCTCCCTATA